AAGATGGAGGTTTAGCTGGATGTGCCTGCCTCCTCACACAACCAAGTTTAGGGACAACTAAATATTAGCATCAGAAAACACAACCAGAACACGGAAAACTGAACTTTTCGGAAGTCCGCTAACAACAAATTCTTCAGCCCGACCAGTAAGGGGCGAAACCGGCGTCGGGTGAGGACTTACAAAGGAGGGCTCGGTCGGACCGGGCGCGGAATCCAGACGCGCGAATCCAGTCGCGCGGGTTCCAAACCCAGGACTGGACCTAGTGAGCCACCGAGCAGCCCACCGGGGGAGCGACTACAGAGGACACAGTGGGGAGGCGGTGGCAGCGAGTTGACTGTGGTTGCCTGGTTGCGCGCGAGTGAGGGAGTGAGCGCTTGGACCGGCCTGGCGGCGGCAGCGGAGGCGCGCCATTTCCCGCTCTGACCACGCCCCCACATACAGCGTCACAACCCAGCGACCTGGGACTCCAAGGCGCCGCTTGTCCCACTTAAAGGGCCAGAACAGACCAAAAATGTCGCAGGCAGAACTCAAAGCCCCAGAGATAAATCTAAATGACGAAGAAATAGCAAAACTCTCAGACGCACAGTTTAAAACACTGGTCATCACCTTCCTCACAGATCTGGTGGATTACAGCCACAAATTAGAGAAACATATGGAGGCTAAATTAAGGAAATGAATGGAATTCCACAGGAATCCCATAGAGATGAAAAGGAAACTGGGACTCAAATCAATGCAGTGGACCAGAAGAAAGCAAATAATGGACAAACAGAAAAGAGTCAAGGAGCAAGAATTCAAAGAAATGAGGAGAGTCTTAGGAACCTCCAGGACATCTTTAAACGCTCCAATATCCGAATTATAGGGGTACCAGAAGGGGGAAAGACACAACCACCAGTGGAAAAACTATTTGAACAAATAATAAAAGAAAATTTCCCCAATCTGGCAAAGGAAATAGACTTCCAAGAAATCCAAGAAGCCCAGAGAGTACCAAAAAAGTTGGACTCAAGAAGAAACACACCAAGGCATATCATAATTACATTAGCCAAAATTAAAATGAAGGAAAGAATCCTGGAAGCAGCAAGAGCTAAGGGGACAATCACCTACAAAGGAGTCCCCATCAGGCTGTCAGCAGATTTCTCAAAAGAGACCTTACAGGCAAGAAGGGGCTGGAAAGAAATATTCCAAGTCATGAAATCTAAAGACCTACAACCAAGATTGCTCTACCCAGCAAAACTTTCATTTAGAACAGAAGGACAGATAAGGTGCTTCTCAGATAAGACCAAATTCAAGGAGTTCATCATCACCAAGCCCTTATTATATGAAATGTTAAAGGGACTTATCTAAGAAAAAGAAGTTAAAGAAACATGAACAGTGAAAGGACAACAAACTCACAGTTATTAACAACCACACCTAAAACGAAAGCAAACTAAAAGGACAGCTAGATCAGGAAGTGGAAACATAGAAATGAAGATCTCAAGGAGGGTTAGCAACAGGGGAGTGGGAGGAGGAGATGGGGGGAGAAGGTACAGAAAACAAGTAGCATAGACAGTAGATAGAAAATAGATGGGGGGGGGGAGAATAGTTTGGGAAATATAGAACCTAAAGGACTTGAGACACATGGACATAAACTAAAGGGGGGTAATGGTGGGGTTGGGGGGGCAGGGTGGAGGGGAATGGAGGGGGGAATAGAACAACTGTAACAGCATAATCAATTCAAAAAAATAAATAAATTTAAAAAAAATAATAATAATAGTACAAGAAGAAACTCTGTTTCATGTACTTAGGACTATAAACTTTTCCCCCACCCTTTATATTTTGGTGCCACTGCCTTGTTTCTTGTTAATAAGTCAACAGTTTTACCCATCATTGCTTTTGCACTATTAGTTCAAACGCCAGCACAGGAAAACATGTTGTTGTTGTTGTTGCTGCTGCTGCTGCAAAAATCTTTTTGACTTTTCAGATGCCCTAAAAGAGTCACGAGGATTCCCTCAAACTGTGGAGCCCATGGTCCACAGTTTGAGAACTGCTACTCTAGGAAAATGACTCTGTTGGAATACTTACGAAGTATAATTATTTGGGTGAATAATATACTTCACAAGGCTGGACCCACTACAGCTTTATGCCAGTGAATCACAGAGGTTCCTGGAATGTCCCAAATTACACCTGCCCTGAGGTGTGGGCTTAGGGGACAGTCTGGCTCTAACTTTGCCACTAGAAGACTGACATGAGAGTGGAGGTGTAGAGAGCCAGACCCAGGTCCCAGTTTGCCCTGAGATGACGTTTGTAACTTGAGTCATGTAGTCTGACTATAGGTAGTTTTTTTCTTTAACACCTGCTTTGGTGGATGTCTTAAAGATACTTCTCCGTTCACCATCCTTTTAACAGTTTCCGTAAATGTCAGAACTTATGGTCGTCATCCTCCTTGCCTTAGCTTCCTTTCTCTTTGTTATCACAGAAAAAAAGTTCCTATTTTTTGTTCACATTAAAAACCACAAGAAGCTAGTCCCATGAGGAATTTGCTGCTACTATTTATAAATATTTTTTTCATTAGTTTTTCTCTAAGAGCTTTGACTTAGGTGGTCTTCATACAACTTTCTCTGAAGCCTGTCTGCCTCTGTTTCTATACTATTCTCACACTTCCATTGAGAAAGGGACAGGATTAAGAATGAAATAGTAACAATTTCTGATCTTACAAAAACAAAACTTTACAAAATATGATGCTGGACTGCATATTAAAACTTGCATTAAAATAATGGAAGAAGGAAAAAAAGAACTCGTGGTGTGATATAACTGTAGAGAATAACATCTGGGTAAATAAAAGGGAAGTGTTAGGTTGGCCACAAAGTCCATTTAGGTTTTTTTTCTGCAAAATAAAAGACAGGGTTTTTTTTGTTTTCACCAGTAACTTTATTGATCTGGATATTTTGAGTATGTCAGCTATCTCCTGCTATTAGCTTCCAGTGGGTAGAGGCCGGGGCTGCTGCCAAACATCTTCCAAAGCATAAGGCAGCTCCACAGCAAGGAATTATTTGGCCAAAATTTTAATAGTACCAAGAAACTTCGAAAACCACTTTGGACATGTTTGATAAGTCACAGCACCTTCTTCATGCACTGTGCAAATCTTTTTTTGTGTTTCAGTGTTTGCATTTTTTGCAATAGTAAGGACTTACAGGCCAAAAATGTTGGGTATTTTCTTCCATCTTCAATATTAAAATGGCTACACAAAAATTCACCAATTTTGATTTTTTAAATACACTGATATGCCAGCTGTCATATCACAGTCTAACCAAATTGTTTCTAATGAGATTAAAGATAACTAAGCCCTACCAGTGCCATCATACAGAAAAAGCTAAATGAACTTTTTGGCTAACCCGATATTTTGAGATACTCATGTAACAACAGGGTGTAGAGAAATTGAGTACCTTTTCGAAATATCAGTAGTTAGTTTTGGTTCTGGGAAAATAACAGTAAAGTAAAATGAACTTAATGAAGAAGAACACAAAAAGCACTCATTCGATAAATATTTGCTTGCCCAGTATGTATTAGGTTCTGTGCTGGGCAATAAAATGTGAAGAATTTACTTAAGAATAGATTGAAAGGTTAAAACCTGTACACTACCAGGTTATTATATGGGTATCTATTTAGGAATTTGAGGTACAGTGCTAACATTTAGTGGCAGTGTCTTTTATTCTGATGGAGAAACCCTGGTGCTGTTTCATTCAACTTGCCCGTGGTCAAACAATGAAGATAGTGACAGATGGTGGAATCGCGTTTTAATACAGGTTCTAAATAGATTAGATTTGGCCCATTAATTTGGCTGTTAATGTACTTTTTCACACTGGAATTACATTCAAAGCCATGTAAAACTTGGAAGATTAGAATGAGAATTACCATTGAAATTTGTCATTTTTTTAATTGGAATTTAAGAAATATTCTAAATTAAGGCTTAACCAATTAAAAGTAGAATATACTATCACATAATACTTTAAAAGCCCCTTTGAAATTGTGTCACAGATTTGTAGTTTTCTCTTGAAGTCTGTAAGTGCCAGGGAGCCTAATGACAAAAGTTTGTTCCCTGTGGGCTCACTGACTGCTTTTTGCTCGTGCCCGGGACTCCTCTCTCCTGCTTCCTGCCCTGCGGTATGAGGCCCTTTGGTAATGGGGTGCTCGCGGAGAAAGTGTGAGTCACTTGGCATAAATTAGCAGTTCCCAAAGTCTATTCCAAGAGAATATCAAGGGATTTTATTTGATAAAAAAGGTTTGTGTTTGTGGAAAACTGATTTAAATTGTTTATTTGCTCTAGGACATCACAAGTCTTTGATACAGAAATTGTTCATGGGGATGCTTCAACAGGGAATTATAACATCCCCAAATTTATTTGAACAGAAAAAAAAACTTCTCGAACCTACTTTTTAAAAAGATTTTTATTTATTTATTTATTTATTTCTAGAGAGTATGGATGAGAGGGAGAAAGTGAGAGAAACATGATCAGTTGCTTCTCATATGCCCCCTGACCGTGGAGCAAACCCGCAACACGGGCCCTGACCTGGAAACACGATGACCTTTCCCTTTGCTGAATGACACCCAGCCAACTAAGACATGCTGGTCAGGAATTGACCCTAAATCAAATTTTTCAGAGTACCTCAGTAATTAATATTCCATGAAATACACTTTGGGAACTGGTACAAGTTCATTCCTACTATCAGAAAAGATTCAAAGCACGGTTACTATTGTATTATTATTATCATTATGTATAACACTCCTTTTTCTATTTATTCCTAACTAGAATTTATATTTATGAAAAGCTGTGGTTTGAGGTAGGCAATAAATAGCAAGAATAAGTACTGTCTCATTGATTGTTAAAATAATTATTTTAGGAACATGAGGAATGAAGCTTCAGATTATAAATTACTACTTGTCAAAGTCTTCACTTTGTTTTTTGTAAGTAATATTTCTAAACTACAATCCATTATTAATAGAGAATCTCTATTTTTGAATTGCAGACGTTGGGGATCAGACAGGTGAGGTAGGTTATTCAGGCTCTCCTGCAGAAGCACCTCCAAGCAAGTCGCCATCCATGCCGTCACTAAACCAGACTTGGCCAGAGATGAATCAGAGCAGTGAGGTTAGCAAAGCTTCCCTTTCCTTTCAGTAACATTAGCTTTGTTAAGGTAAGATGTTCCAAACAGAGTAATTTCAGCATCTAGTTCTTTCAGCATGTACGCATAGTTAAGAGAACATATAAAGTAGGACTGCGATAAATGTAATTGTGTGACTGAGGTTTGCAAAGTACTTTTTCACACGTATACTGTCATTTGGTTTCTACCACTCACTCCTGCTAAATGAGTTAGATGGGGCAGGCACGTGCTGTTTACAGTCAGAAAGGCCAAGATCCCGCAAGGCTACTAAGGGACAAGAGCTAAGATTTCAACACAAGTTCTTTGACATGCAGTCAACTACCATACCCACTGTGTCACAGCGCCTGCTCATTCCTGTAGGCAAGATGTGTGGTAGCACATTTGGAATCTGAGCATTGTAATGATACCAGTAGTCACTAATGAGCCCTTGCATATGAAAAAAGTATTTTCTTCAACCCAGGCTATTTGTACTAACTTAGTTTTATTTAATACAAAGTCAAATTTAACCCTGTGAAATGCAGTGGTTAAAAGACATGTTACATATAAGACCAAGCATAACATGCAAAACACAATTTGAGACCAGTGCAATCCCCCTTCTCCTTACTTTGCAACTCCATTATATGAAGCAGTAGAAGTAGGGCCACTCAGATTAGAATAAGGGAATGGGCCTGAGACCCCTGTGTTAATGAACCTTAGTGCTCTGTAGAACTTCAGTTAAAAAATAGCTGTTCTGTCCTGTTAGAGTAGTTTTCTTTGTGAACAAGTTACTTTGTTTCTTACATTTTTTGTATCATTTTAGGTAGTGTTACAAATTTAAGTTTCTTGGCTTTCAGGAAATTCTAAACTCCAGTGTTTTCCATGTCTTTTAATGCCAGAAAAGTACTACTGGGTTAAAGAGACACGGGTTAATTTTGGACAGTTGAAAACAGAAGTAACTGGCAGGTTGAAAGTACTTGCTGCTGCTTTATGACAATTACAGACACCTGTTCCTGGGATAGAACGTACCATTTGTCGTACTGTTGGACGTAAAACATGTATATAAGAGATTTCCTAGAGAGAGGAGATTAACCCTTTACTAGAGGGAGGAAAGAATTTACTAGGAAAGAGGCCTTATAGAGGGTAGGGTCACTTTTAGAAATGGCTATTTTTGCTCATTTTTTAAAAACAGTATCAGATTAAGAGTAGTTTTTCCATTAATACCAGGTCATAAATAAAACAACTCTTTCTGAAGCATCTCAATTTTAAAGCCCATATTCATTCTAAATAAAATTGTGCATGATTGTTAAAGAGTAGGAATGGAAGTTTCATCCATGTTCTGATTTAAGCAGTTGTACTTTTCTTTTAGATAGTACTACAAGTTTTATTTTGTAGTATTCACTAATAAGGTTATGAATGTCATAGTTATTTTTCTTTTTACTCTGTGTGGAAAATCAAAATGTTAATAAAACTAACACTGACTTTGAGACATTTTAATAATTTTCTACCACAAAGCACTAATAATTCTTTCAACACATATTTATTCAGCATGTGAATATGGATGAGACACTATAGAGGATAACACTAATAATAATAACAACAGCACTAATAATAATCCTTAACATTTACAGAGCACTTTTGATGTGCCAGTTCTGTTCAGAAGCTTTTTACGTATATGAACTCTGCTTCCTCACAACAATCCTGTGACATAGGTGTTATTAATTTCAAGTTACAGATGGTGAAACGAAGCACAGATTGATTAAATAATGTGTTTAAAGTTGTACAGCATGACTAGGATTCTGGTAGTCCAGTTCGAGAGCCTGTGCTCTTCACCATCGTACAAACCTTGTAAAGAAAGAAGTGTCGTTCTGCTCTTCAGGTAGCTTCTGCACAGCCTTGTAAAACCAAGTAAAACTTCTTACAACAACTAAATAAATAAATGCCTTCTTTTTGGCAAAAATCTGTCTAAACATTTCTCCAGAGTTACACCATTAGTATTTTAAAAATTCCTTCTGTACACATACAACAGTAATTATTGAAGAAACTATAACAACAAATATTGGTAAGTCACTTCCCTGAAGTGACATCCCATGATAAAAATGAATTATTGAGAGCTCTCTTTATTCAAGAAACACTTTGAACTCTTAGTATATCTTTGTATATCTTAATGTTTATAAATTTAAAACTAATATTTAGGCAAAGTTGTTGAATGATTGTATTAGCCATTTTTGTAAATAATTTATTGATACATTAATTTGCTCAATATAATTTCTACAAGTCTTCTCAAATTAAATATCATTATTTTAAATGAGTCGAACTTTGAAGCATGAAAATGAATATTTTTCCATACTGAATTATAAAAAGGATTTTGATGAATGGGGTAGGTGTGTCTGTGTGTAAACATTTGTTTGTATATATTGTATATGTGTAGTTGTTTTTCCCTCGTCAGAGTACAACTGACAATTCTTAATCAAATCTTAATGCAATTCTGATATAAAAAATTCTATGCTATTTTATTGCCAAGATCTTTAAAACAAATGGAATTTACTAAAATTAATATTGGCTTATTATTCCACCTATTTTGAGGTATGATATTTGTATACCTCTTTTAGAAGAGTAGTGTTTCATATCAAAATACACCTTCTGTATATGCGACACATACCCAGATGCTTGATTTGCTCTCATTGTGGCCGCATTCTGATTCTCCCAGCATGAGGGGGCGGGGCCTGATTGGCAGTTCTGTCTTGGTCTGGCATGGTCCTGTTCCTAGTGCTGATTGCAGAGGTTGACTTGCTACAGATTGACATAAGCTGAAACATATATTATAATTTCAGAAATCTTTGCATTTTCTCTCAAGTATATTAAATATACATAGGTACAAAATAATGTGCACGTACATAATAGAATCATCTTTCAGGGGTCGCACTGGCAAGTCACAGTGACTTGCTTTGTTTTGACCAAGAGTTTGGTACTTAAGATGCTCTACCATTACCAAATCAATAACATTAACCTTTAAATTTGAACCACATGATTTGAAGTTACTCTTTGTCTAGTCAGCACATGCCTTTATATTTTTACATTGTTGCCATTTACACCACTTAGACTCGGTTCCTATATTATGTTTTGAATTTTAATTCTGTAAGGTTTTGAATCTCTTCATAGAGATTGCAATAAATTGTTACTATACATTTGATTTTGAAGCCGCTCACCTTACATCACAAGATGACCCAGGATAGAAGAGTATAAAATGCTTATGGAAAACTAGGAATTACGGAATTTTGTCAGGCCTATGAAACACAACTTGCAGTGCAACCTCTGAATTACTTTGCTCAACCTTCTCCAGTGACCTTCTACTCCACCTTTCTCGTCGTGCTGACTTGTCTCTCCTCTGTCTGTTCAGCAGTGGGAGACATTTAGCGAACGCTCTTCAAGCTCACAAACTCTGACCCAATTTGATTCTAACATTGCACCAGCTGATCCTGTAAGTCAATCACTTAGCTTGCTTGTTTGAAATTAATTTTATTAACCCAAATTTCCATTCATTATGGTTTTTAGCTATGCATGATTCAGTGGAGTGCTTAGAGGGAAATAGTGATAGGCTTTCCAATTTTTGTGTGCCTAATGATGGAAAGAACTTTTTTTTTAACCATTGTTTGTATTTCCTAGTTATTTTGGTGAGAGAAAACTGTATGTTTTTAAAATCTGGTACATGTGTCTAAAGAAACATTTTGTGACAGTTGACTTAGTTGACTTGTTTTCATTTGCTAATTGAGTGTATGTGTTATTAAACATACTGTTTAGTGTAGTGACACTTAGTAAATACTATTTTATTTGTATGCTTACACATCATGTAATATGTACTATGTATGTAAATATACAATGTCATCTTTTATAGTCCAGGTGATATTGCTTTGACTTAAATCGTGTGTTGAGTTCTGTTAAAAGAGAATCGAGTTCAGCAGAACAATGGAGTTGTCAGTCAAAGATCCCCATTGTGCAGAGGAGCCTGTCTTGTCTTCCTGTGGTTCGCTGTGTTGCTTTGAAAAATGCTACAAAGTTCACATCCTGATTTCAAAAATAAATTCTATTCCCATAGGTTTAATTTCATATATGCCTCACCTATCCCTCAAGTTATTTGAAAACTTCAAGGCATTAGCTTGTAGTTATTTTTCTTCCTATTCACTCCTGTTTTTTGTTTTATTTTTTCTTTTAAAGAGAAGAACATGCTAATAAGCACGTTTCAAAAAGAAGAGGCAGTAGAAAGTGAAGAAGGATTTTAAAATGAGTTCAGTTGAAAGATAGGGAGAAAGGGACACAAGGCATTTTTTTTAGATGTTTCTTCAAAGCCAGCATTTATTAATTAAAACGGTCTTGTTGTTTAATGTTTGAGACAAGTGACATTTAAAGTAATGTAGTACATCAAACGTTTAATGGATCTTTGGTGTGTTTTATAATTTTAAAGAATTTGTATGTGAAATATAGAAGATGATGTTGCATTCAAACAGATAATGTATGGAAGTTTTTTCATGTGTTTTATAATTTATTAATAATATAAGAGTCAATTAATATGTAGGTCATCTGTGCCTTTTGCTTTGTCTGCTGCTTTTGAGGGCATTCATTAATCTTCAGTTTTAAACTGAAAAATTAAGGAGAAATAAAAAAGAAACATAATTTTTGCTGCTTATTATCAGCTATAATTAAGGTCTCTTGGGAGGGGACAGGTTGTGTAAGCTGAAAGAAGATCTTACGGTACCTTAGCGCTCTCTGTTTCATTCTCCATATTACTCTGACCTCCTGCTTACACAGTCAAGATAGCTTTATTTAAAGTACTCCATTCAAGTATTTTTATTTGTGAAAGAAGGTTTGCTGTAGCAATACAAAAACTATTCTCTAACCCTTAAGAAATAATTAAAGTAATTATTCACAGTGTTACAATTTTTTTGCAGGCCAGGAAAGGATATTAAATATAAAATGTACAATTCAGGGACAAAATAAATTCATTCATGACAGGCAGGAAATGCAGGGAAATAATTTAGCTTAATAACAGCAATGATCTTATAAATTCTTGGCAATAATATTCAAATTTATGAATTTTAGCTCTAGTGTTTAAAATACTGTGGCTCAGTATTTTCTCTTGTTATCTCTAGTGTGGCTGGAGGCTCTAGAATTTTTTTAAGTGTTTAATCAACATTTTAAACTTGAATTTAGACCTCTGAATTTCATAGAGTTGCCAGTTTTAAATATTTATAATCTGAAACCTAGAAACACTTTTATGGTGGCAAACTTAAATCTCAACTTTGTTCCCCAACTAGTAATTTCTCTTTAAACTTTCAATCAGGAGAATGTCCTGTTCCCACTAAGGACCTGGATTTCTTAATCTTCATTTAATACCTCCCTGACATACTGCCTGTACATACATGCCCAGGAACTACAATCCCAAATGATCTTTTGCAAGGTTTATATAAATAAGGATTGTACATAAGTAAGATCCATTCAGATTAGAAAAAAAATCACCTTGGAGGAAAAAAAACAAAGTAAGTATAGTTCTAATGTGAATTTGACAACCATTACAGTGTTGGAAATATTTAATAGAATATTTTTAAAGCTAAAATTGGTAATTAGCCATTTGCTCAGTAAAATGAATCTTTGAAAAGCTCTAAACTGCTCTGTAGCACTTGGAGACGGCTATCCCACAGCACAGTGACCTCACATACAAACTGAGATCGTTAATCATTAGGCTCCCAGAATTGTAGTGAAATTGAGTTTCTGATATTTCATTTGCAGAAACTTGGTCACTTTTGTTGAACTACTTGTCAGTTAATTGCTTCTGGTAGAATCTGCCTCTGCAAGAGAATTCTAGACCGAGGAGACTTTATTGCCCTAATCTTCTCCATGGTAATGCCTGATTTTGAGTGCCGCAGAACCTCCGAGCCATTCAGGATATGAAAAGGAAGTGAGTTTGAACACTTATTATGTCTGTCCAACTCACCTGGTTTGGTGGAGCCCCTTTCTAGGGTGCTCGTGATCTTGTCTAGGAATAAAAAGGATGTCAGAAACAAAAATGCAGTCTTAAGTAGACTGCAGTTTGATTATTATAAGCTTGATGTTTGTAATATAGCTGATCGTCATAATTATCATCTATGGCTATGGACAAAACTGGGCAGAGAACCATGGACCAACTCAGCCCAAAATTTCTACAGATGCGTTTATGTTTGTGTGCTGAGTTGTTAATGAGTTGCCAGAAGTGAAGAAGAGCATTCAAAACAGAGAGAGTATCATGAGCAGGATCAAATTTAGTGTGGTGAAAATGGAAGGTAGACATGTGAGGGGTGGGGAATGATGGGGACTGACGGGGACTGACGAGTGTAGTTGGAACCAGACTAGGAAGATCCTTGTATGTTACTCCAAGAACCTGAGTTTAGTCTCATAGACACTGTAGGCTACAGGAAGTACCATGATAAAATGAGGAAGAGGAACGGGAAGCCGGGGAGATCACTTGGGCAATAGTGTGAAAGATCGATGGGATCAAGAGATCATGAGCACCTGAACTAATTTAGTGACAAAGGGACAGATGGTAGGCAGGGCTGGATTTGGACAGGATGACAGGATATAAAGGAAGTAGAAAAGTATAGCTATCTGAACATTAATATAATATTCAATAAAGTACTAAATTGTATAAAATCAGATGCCCAAACAGATGATACAAATGTGTCATGAGTGATTAGGAGTGGGTTTCCTAAAGGCTTTGGGTTATTTAAATAGAAAAAAAGTGGGGAGAAGCTACCAGAGGCAGTCTCTTTTTAAATTTGGGGATGCTAATTTGGAGCAGAGACAATATTATTACTTTGGCATCTTGTGACTCAGGACTCAGAGGCTTGTAAGCATTCACGGTTCTTCATTCAGATGTTGAAATTCTTAAAGTCAGAGCTCTCTATCCTGTGTGACTATCATTTGTGAGATCACACGAGCTTCTGATATGCTGGTCCCTGGTCTTCAAGGAACTACCTTTCCTGCTAGTATGAGGATCCGTTGCACTAAAGCTATTATAGGCCCATAGCAGCCAGTTGATGTATGGGTGAAGTATGCAGTACATAATTGCTTCGCTGCTATAGAAACTTCAACAAATTATTTGGGAAAATGAATAGAGCATTCATAATTTTCTTTTCTTGGAGTCATTATTGTACTTCCATTTGCTGTACTAAAAATATATGAAATAGTTAATATTTCTAACTGTTGCAAGCTTTATAAGTTTGATTTTACAAGGATACACAGACTGTATATCAGATATATGCTGTAAGTTAAAGCATTAAATAGATTTTCCTTGTTTTTTCTGGTCTTGGGGAGTAGGGGTTGGAGTAGGAACTTACTGTGTCACAAGCTATCACTTCTTCCTCTTTTAATCCTGCATTATAATATTAAATCCTGATTTTCATGGCAGTTATTTCTGCTATTAAAAACTGTGAGTTAAAAAAACTGGTAATTCTTTCTAAAGCCATGTTTTTATCACCATAACAGCATTTTAAGTGTATTGTTATAAATACTTTCCTGTGATTAACTCATTATTATGTGAGGAATCTAAACTTTTCTCCATCTGTAATGTTCATCTTGATAACTATAATTTTAGAGTTCAGGTTAATTGGGTAATACATGAACCCTGTCCAGAATCCCAGTGGTACAGAGGCAGGAAATTACTATGAATGGATTTATCAGTATAATTGCAGTAAGAAATTAATTTGTTATAAACGGTTTGAATTTAGAGACTGTGAGACTAAGCCAAGGAGAGCTATTAAACAAGAAATGGTACGCTGGTACATCACTTTCTCTAGCAGAGACTTAGTGGTACTCAATACTACGTCAAAACAGTGTCCCACTGAAACTGAAAAGTTGTTATCCTTTATACTAAAGTATAAACTTGACTCATTACTAAATATTTGAGATTTGAGGATCTCATGTTCAGTTTTTCACAGCAGCACACATGCAAACTGACTTCTCGTATAGGGATCTGAGCCCCCTCCCCAGTGTTTTTCAGCTGGTGTGTTCCTATTAAGCCAAATGCTTCTCCCCTTCTGGTTCCTCTGCTGGGAGTCTCAGCTCCCGGGGTCAGGCTTGCCTGTGTTCCCAGGTGCACCTTTCTCTTTTCTTTTCCTTTCTGAGAGGCTGCCATTTGAATTTCTTCACTCTTCCTTGCCTTACTCTTTCATTCTTTTCAAAAGTCTCTTCTACCAGTTTCTTTACTTTTCTAATAAGGTTTGCCACTTGCAAAGTTTCGTAATATCAGATGTATTACCATCTTGAAAAGGTTTAAGAAAAGTATTAGAATCTTTGAATAGTAGTCTTACTGATCTCTCTTTAAACAAATGGATTTTGGGGTGGAAGTTGTATGCAAAACTTTAGAATTATGTAGAACTAATCTATAAAAGTATGTACTATGCCTGCTATTAAATTATAGCAGGCATCTCATTAACCTTGTTTTATACATGAAAAAGAGAAGTGTCAAATTTTCTTGATCAGTTTTCTGAAAATGAGGTTAGTCTGTTACTTGATTTTGGATTCTGATGAAATAGTTCAGTTTACTTTAACCTGAGAGGTTCAACTTGTACAATTTCATCAGATCATTTCATACTTTGCCTTTGAAAACTGTCTTAAATTGTATTTTTATAAGGTCATTTTTTATGAAATCCATTCATTAATCATCCGGAAGTTAAAATGTGTTTTTTATCAAAGAAATCAAATCGTTAGGCATAGTGAATTTGATTTTTCTACATATAATTCTCTAACTTTTAATTTAAATTAATTTTCATGCTTGCCTTAGTGTGAATAAGAGAGTCTAGCTACCGTTTAAAAAGCTTTGTTAATTTTGATTATTTCATGGTATCAGCTTAGCATCTTTAATACAAATTCTGTGTTCCCCCTCATTTGTCTCTAGGATACTGCTATTGTTCATCCAGTTCCCATTCGGATGACTCCAAGCAAAATCCACATGCAGGAAATGGAACTTAAACGAACTGGCAATGGTAAGGAAGCCAGCTGGACTGTATTCTAGGTTAGCAGGTTGTGTGTTGTGGTTCCCAACCGTGTGTTACATTAGCATCAACTGAAATTATTCTGTCAGGGTTCAGATTTCTTTCATGAATGCTGATTTTTTTTCAACACAGTACTTTCTACAGTTATATGTGTGCATATTTATATGTATATTTTAAGTTATGTTACAATTTATAAAAGGAAATTTTTGAGTTTCAATTGTAAAACTTTTAAATAAGGACATTTGAAAAAATGTGCCTTTTCTGACTGTGTTTTTATGATCACTTTTGTGAATTTTCATTTAAAGTATGTTAAAATTGTAACTGAAGAGGCATATGTTAAATTTTGGCTTTGAAATTATTTTGCTTAAACTCTTGAATTTTTTCTTTATTTTAGATGAAATGTTTTGTAGTTAGAGTTTCTCAAAGGTAAATGCATTTCCTATAAGCAGCATAATAAATTACTTATTTACAGCCATTTGTGTTACAGAATTTGTATTAAAAATGCCAAACTGGTACCATGAAATAATCAAAATTCTGTTCAAGTAATTACCCTAAAGGGATAAAATTAACAAAGTATGAACATGCAAATTGACTTTTTTATTATAATATATCTTCTATTATGTCAGAAAACATATTTCTATGTAAATAGGCTTATATTTGTTTTTAATTAATGTAGTATTTTGTCTTATGTCCCATGGGATATAAGTAGTTTATCTGCTACTTCTTCGTAATATCTAAATGAGGTCTTGTCATGTGCTCTGAGGTTTATAAATTTATTAATTCAGATACCTACATCTTGTATTTTTATGTATTAATTCTCTACTAGATCATACCAATCCCACTAGCCCATTACTTGTGAAGCCATCTGACCTATCAGAAGAAAATAAGATAAATTCATCAGTGAAATTTGCTTCTGGAAATACTGTAGGTAAGTGAAAGGTAGCATTACATCTTCTGTTAGAAGTTTATTAAGTCTGGATTTAGAGCCTAAAGGATGCAAATGTATAGCCATTTAATACTATCTCCACCGAATAAGGTAGAGAATAGTCACTTTTTTTAACATCCTACCCACTATATGAATAAATGGTTCCCCGTTGTTGCCTGAGCCTTTTTCAAGGCAGGCCTCCTGCTTGCTGTTCCTCTCAAACAGCCTGATTAGGTCCCTTGGCTCTTTCCCACCAGCTCCTTTCTTTGTCTCTCACAAGAAATCGTGTGTACCAGTATCTAGTTACTCAGCCTATATGCCAGGCTCTGTTCTAGACACTGGGGACCCACACTGAAGTAAGCAAGTCTGTGCCTTTGTGGAGCTTACATTTTGTAGGGAGAGAAGGGGGACGGCGGGTCAGTGTCTCATATCCTAGCAGGTGGTTAACACCCTGGAGAAAATGCTAATGTATGTACTGTTTTTTGACCCCCTTTCATGTGACTTATTCTGAATAATTCTGTTATTAAGTGTTAACTTTTCTGATTTGTAACTTAATCTATATGTATAGTATTTTATTGTATAAATAGGCCATTATTTGATTTACATTTAATTTTTTATAGTAATACTGGGATAAACTGTTAACCTGTTAGCCAGTTTTAAATATCTGATTTGAAACAATAATTCAGTTATATTTGTTTGAGGCACTTAGAGTAAAAGTGAAGAAATTATTAAGTAGGATATATTCCATTTATCAGCAGATGGTTACAGTAGTTCAGACTCTTTTACTTCAGACCCAGAACAGATCGGGAACAATGTAACTCGTCAAAGGTCAGTATTTCTGTCAATAAAAACATTAAAATATCTTGTCACATTTTAATATTTAAAATGATTTAGGACCAAGTATAAATTACATATTTTTCTCTGTACTTCTTTGCTTCACTGAAAGTGAAGATCTCAGTGATTACCTATTAATTTATGTAAAAGAGAAATAATTTTGATTTTTTCCAACTTGAACAAAAAACAGACGAAACCTTATTGTCTCATGGCATTCTGTAGAAGATTTAAGGACTGATAACTTCTGCCCGGCTGCTATAGCTCAGTGGATTGAGTACGGGCCTGTGAACCAAACGGTTGCTGGTTCAATTCCCATTCCAGGCACATGCATGGGTTGTGGGCCAGGTCCCCAGTAAGGGGTGTGCGGGAGACAACCACACATTGATGTGTCTGTCTCTCTCTCTCTCTCTCTCTCTCTTTCTCTCTCTTTCTCCCTCCCTACCCCTCTCTCCAAAAATAAATAAATAAAATCTAAAAAAAGGAAGAAGAGCTTGTAACTTCTTTGCAGTCGAAATTTAATACTGGTAGTCCTTTTTTAGGTAAACATGGGAGCCTGTTTCAGTAATAAATGTGCAGGTTTCCTTTTATAGCCTTAGGGCTATTACCAAAAGAATTCTGTGTTTTAAAAAGCTATTCAGAACCCCATCCCAGTGTTGCGCTACCTACCAACCCGAAGATCTGCATTGTATATCATTTTTCAGGCACAAACTAAAAGAATGTGGGATTGGGTGAGGACGGCAGGGGTTTGTCTGTAAAGGTCTACCATCCACAGAAAAAAAAACTACAGGACAGAAGCATCTTTTTCCTCTTGTTTCCTATATGTGGTACCTTTTGCCACATACCTGGAGGATATAGAAAGAGACTCATAATACAGAATTGCCAAAGAGCTTGGAGTCAAAAGGCTGCTTGTTCATATAGTTTTCCTGTGTTTCTTAAAATTCTCAGTCATCTTGGATTTTATTCTGCTTTTTATCCCTATAAGTGAGGATCAGATTGCCAGAGTCCATAAAACTCTTCTCAGAATATAGAATATTTTGGTAGCAAGTAAGTGCATCTCTAGGGTGAGTTGAGCATAAGTGTATTTGCCTCTAAAATGCTATGGCCGGTGGTAACCCAGGCACGGGAACCACAGGTAGTTGGGCCACATTGTGCCTCCGTTTTCCAGACTTCAAACTCTAAGTTGAAAACTATCCTTATCTGAAAGTAGACCTTCTCACATTTAAAAATAAATATTTTAGACTAATACATAGTGCCTTTAATTAAATGGGAAAACATCATACTAGTTTTCCAGTCTACCTTGAATACTTAATAACCTTTTTTCAATTTTTTTGAAATTTTGTTAAATGTAAAATTATACTTTATAAAAATATTATTTGCCACATTAAATAACCACTTGTTTAATGCACATCATAAATAATATTGTCCTTATTCATTATAATACTTGTATACCTACTCGAGAAAATATCCTTTGCTGCTTAGCCCAGTTTGAATGCTTAAAAGAAAAAAGCTTCCATATCAGTAGCATGACCGAATGTAATGCGATGAACTTTGCAGGTCTCATTCAGGAACGTCACCTGATAACCCCGCTCCGCCACCTCCCCCTCCAAGGCCACAGCCCTCTCATTCTAGATCGTCATCTTTAGACATGAATCGGACCTTTGCAGTCACCACAGGTAGGGGTTAGAGGGCCGTAATACATGTTATCATTTGAGTTTAAAGTTAAGGACACACGACATATCCTCAGTATGTCTTTAAAATATTTATCTGGAGGAAAAATTCAAATTTAAAAAGTATCACATGAGAAGTGATTTTTTTGCTTAATGACTGTCTAAAATGTGTTTGAATTCAAGTGATAAAAATGGGAACCTGAGAGATGCCACAAGAGATTTTAAAAGCACAATGTGGCAGTATCGAGGAGGGAAAGCTAATAGGTCTTAAGTTATCTGACAAAGGAGAGAGTCATCACTTACTCTGAGATTTTAATTTTATGTAACTGGTCATTATTGTGATGTTGATCAAAGTAGTAAAGTTGGGACACTGGGTGAGGATGTCCTGTTTGGACGTGATGAGTTTGCGATGATGAGGAATGATGGTCAACAGGCTGCTGGATTTGTGGGCTAGGAGATATTGATGCATGGTTTGAAAATCATCTACATAGAAACTATAGAGTGAAGTATTAATTAAAAGAGAAAATTGGAAGTCCTCATATTTGATGGCTAAAGATCAGTCAGAATGTGGGGAGAAAACCAAGATTGCATGGTATTGCAGGAATGAGGTAGGGCATTCGAACAAGAGAAGTGAAGTCTGGGAAAAGGCCACGCAGTCTGGCCACTAGGTCCCATCTCGACAGTTATATAAGACAATGAATATGAATGCCTTCCGGTACCTACCAGACAGTCTTAGAAATCTGTATCACTTGATTGTATTCATTCAACCTGCTCTACTAGCAAGTAATTTTATATTTACTAAAACGAAGACTTGTGTATCCATGCAGGACAACAACAGGCTGGAGTTGTTGCCCACCCTCCTGCAGTGCCTCCAAGACCACAGCCCTCACAGGTATTCTTCAGTGTGCTCATTACTCAACGTCAGTCATTCCGCTCCCCATGGTCAGTCTGTCTGTGAGGTATTGGATTCTGTTCTAGAATTATGTTAAAGATCCAAAATTGCCTAATTGTCATTCCTTCTGGGCAGTTAATTCAGAGGAGGTAAGACTTATTTTGAAAGATAATTCCAGTAAAGATTTGAGGTTTTTGTTTTTTGTGGGTTTTTTTGGTTTTTTTTTGAAAGAAGCTTCATAGTGACCAAAATGATAGTGTCTTGACAAAAGAAGGTTTAGTGGACAGAACAAAGGGTTGGGAGATCCAAGACGTCCATCTCTGCTGGGTCCAGCAGTAATCCACAGTGACCTCACTGCAACTGTCTGGATGTGTGGCTGCATCAGTAAAGGAAGTAGAAGGTGGCCTGTGTATCCCACCAGGGCGAAATTGTTTCGATCTGCACAAAACTATTATGTGCCTGGGCAGATTCTGGATTATAGCTGTTAGTTTACGTGACTGACTGACTACCTTTACGGTAATAAATGAATTTGGTTGTTTTTTGTTTTTGTTTTTTTTTTTTTATTTTAAAGTTGGGTATTTGCAGTTAAAAAGCTGGTTTCTTAATCATAAAAGATACTGAGATTTTAATATTCCAGTGTTTATTTCATCTAAAGTGCCAGCACATGTACAGATGTATGTTTACTGGGATTACCCTATAAAACCCAGTGAGTTTGTCTCTTGACTCAAGAACCGGTCTAGTGGGGAATACAGAACCATAAACAACAATTATAAGTGTAACCGTAGATGTGTTTATGAAATGCTTTGCTACACCTTTACTAGTTAATAGTCAGGGGTCATTTTAAAAAGGTTAAAGTGAAGGAAGTAAGACTTAAGCAGAGACTGGAAAGATAAAGGGACAGTCAGTCCTCTTGCAAAGGGCACACCAACCAGATGGAATGGTACCCACAAAGCCACAGAGGTGTAAGGTAAGTCTGGCATGTCCGTCAAGGAAAATCGAGTGAGTTCAGTATCACTGGAGTGATGGAAAAGGGAACTGAAGAGGTCTTGAAGGGGCAGAGCGTCTCCTGTATGTGATTATAAGGAGGATAGAATTTTTCTTAGAGGTGGAAGTTTTTTAAAGGGTAAGCAAGGAAGAGAATTCCGATTTATTCCGATAGCATCTTGTACTTCCTTTGTCATAAAACTTCTCACACTATTTTAATACCTTGTTACCCTGTGCCTCAGCCTGCAGTAGACTGTCAGCTCTATTAGGGCGTGGACCTTACTTCTTTTTTGTTCAGTGTTACAGCCATAGTATGTGGCCAAAAGGAGATACTCGGCAAATGTATTATTTGATGGAAAATTGTAGGGTCGGTCTGGGAAAGGAGTGGGGGACAAATTGAAGTGAAGTACACTGAAGTGCTGGAGGAACTGTCAGTGTGCTGGTTCTCACACTTTAAAAATAACCTTTTTAGAAATACAATGAAACATATTTTTATATTATATGTTTTATATTATTTAGAAATATAATTAAAAATATAATATATTTTAATGTATTATTAAAAATAATAACTTGTTTAAAGAACAATCTGTTAAGCAGTCGCCCCATTAAAAAAAAAATAGAATCAGAGAGTAGGGCCAGACCTTCCTCTCTCCTTATGTACCTTCTTTGCAATAATAATTTCGTAAAAGTATCTCTTTTATTGGGTTTTTTTGTTTTGTTTTTTTTTAGTGTCTTAGTATTTCATTTCTGGGTTTTTTAGAGCCTAATATCACTGTTGCTCACCTTGCTGAATTTACAGATAATAAAACAGAGCACCTTTATGGTAATGTTTTCAAAGAAAAAGAGGCCTCTTTGCGACTGCTGCACCATTAAAGTGTTTGTCCCTCTGCCCCCAACCACCGCACAGGCCCCTGGTCCCGTAGTGCATCGGCCTGTGGATGCGGACAGCCTAATAACTCACACCAGTACCTCACCTCAGCAGATACCGGAACAACCAAATTTCGCAGATTTCAGCCAATTTGAAGTATTTGCTGCATCAAATGTAAATGAAGAACAAGAAGATGAAGCTGAGAAACATCCAGAAGTCTTGCCGGTTAGTTTTTAAGGGCTCATCCAATTTTCCACAGGGAATCTCTTTCCACATCATAATTCATAGCCTGTCTGTAAACAGAGGGACCTCTAGAGGAGTACATATTGGAGTGAACATCAGGGAGCAAAAATCTGCTGCTGCTGCCTTGAGAGGGTTGACATTCCCCAGGTCATTGCTTCTCGATTTTTTCAAATGATTTTTTCATTAGCCTTAGACATCTGCTGGTTGCAGTGTAATGCTCAGTAAGAATCAGAATCTGGGTGGGAGTGGCTGTTGTGTGAGAAGACGCAGCCATCTGGTCCTGGCTGAAGCAGTTCCCTGGGTTGCATCTCAGTGCTGCGCTTCTGATTGTGATTTGGTGAAGATTTCCATATAGCATCAGGCACTGGTCACCACAGCTACACTCAGCTTGTACAACATGAGAGTAAGTCACTTTAGTTAGACAGATTTACAGATTACGTCTCTGTAGACAGTGTTTCAGAAGACTCTGTTTAGTTCTGGTGGTGAGAACTTCTCTAGGGTTCCCTGACCTCACTAAATACAAATACAGAATTGGAGGGACCAGAGGAATTCTAAAACCTTGGTTCTGATTGTCTCAACTTATTGGGCCTTTCTGACAGATCCCCAAATCCATGTTTATTTGACTGGCATCATTGCTAAAGGTTTCTTATAGATCTGATCCACGGAAAATTTTCTACCAGCCACTTCTTCAAATCTGTAACCTTCTGTCTCACCGTGGGGCTACTCAGGGTATGGGCTGCACCTCCAGGAAGGCAGGGGAGAACCTGAGGGGAAGTTCTATGTGCGCTGGGTACTGGTACTCGTGCCCCTGGGGTAGACGCATCCCCTTCCACCCTCAGATCTATGACCTGCCCTCCTCTCTGCCCTTCAGCAGTAGGAAACAGTCATTTCACAGGGTTTTCTCAAATTCCTTCTCATATTCATCTCAGATTCCTCGTTGTCACAATGAATAGTTTTGTAACATTTTACTCTGATATATGATGTATATTTATGCATAATTATGTATTACTTGTATATAATTAGTAACATTGTGTATTCATCTCTAGGTTGAAAAAGCTTCTGACCCTGCAAGTTCTCTTCGAGTTGCCAAAACAGATAGCAAAATTGAAGAAAAGACAGCTGCTAGTGCTCCCGCCAATGTGGTATGCAAAAAGTCTTTCTGAATATTGACCATTTTGTATGTACAAAATGTTACAGAAAATCGTTCTTACTTTTTAAGATTTTAAAAAGATGACAGATGTCTTAGATATAAAGTTAGAGACCATCTAACTCATTCTGTTGCTTCTGCCTATTAAAAATTCTAGATGGTAGTCGTCTATATTAGTGCATGCCCCAGGTTATCAAAATTTTTGTGGTATTGAAGTCATCTAAGTGCATAAAGTAGAACTTCCTTTTTGGAAGTTCAGGGGTTTTTTTTTAAGTATAATAGGGCAAAATTATCAACCCTCTGAGGTTAATGTTATATTCTATGCGTCTTTAACTGTTTTAGGGATAATTTTGTCTCTCAAATTTTATGAACATTTTTAAACATACAGAAAAATTGAAAGAATTTTACATTTTAATCAATAAACCTACACCTTTATTGTACCATTAATATTTTATCATACTTGCTTTATGCATATTTCTCTATTCTGATATCTATTTATATCAGCAATTTTCAACCTTTTTCATCTCATGGCACAACATAAGCTAAAACACTACAATTCCGTGGCACACCCCAAAAATACATTTTTTGCCAGCCTAACCAAAAAAGAAGTGTAATTTTTATTTATTCACACTAGACGGCTATTGTATTGGCTGTCGTTTTTTAAATTGGGGCATCTAAGGCACAGGTGGCAAACACAAGGCCCGCGGGCCAAATCTGGCCCTCCACCTTGTTTTATATGGCCCAGCACCTGGTTTCTACCCAGCGGCAGTACCAAGCTCCTTGCCCCCTGGTTAAGGAGTAGTTACATTTACACAGTCCTAAAGTTACATTCAGCCCTTTGAAGGCAACTGTGTGGCTCGTGTGGCCCCCAGTGAAAATGAGTTTGACACCCGTTGATCTAAGGGAAAAGAGAACAGTTGCCCCTGACTACATAGTCAGGTACTGCGTGTTTTAACAGTTCTTCCAGTACACTGATTGAAAATCCCTGATCTGTATCAGTCCTCCTTATCTTCTGTTTGCATTTCCAAGGAAGTTACAGATATTAGTACACTACCCAAATTTTGTTAATTTTTTTCTAGCTTTATCCAGACATTCCTAATAGTTATTAAAATAGCATTGGTTTCTGAAAGTGGTTAAATTCTTCTTTCTGGACACTTTAATGTTTACTACGTTAGTAGTTCTGTGGTGTCTTTTAATAGTTAATTTTTGTCAGCTCATGGCAACAAATTAAAAATAGGTGTGGGTAAGAGATGACAGTTGAGTCTTCTTGTTTATTAACAGGTCACATCAGGTACTAAATAAGTACTAAATACTATATTTGATTCTGTTGAAGGCAGGTTCACAGTTTCCAACAAAATGTCCACTCATTTTCATGAGTTACAATTACTGTGCACCTTAGTGAAGGATTTTTGTTTTTTTAACAATGCCTGGCTTTCCACTTCTTTAAAAATTGCTTTCTTCATTGAGGTGATATATTTTAGTAATTTTGAGTAGGAAATTTTGTGGTGATAATGGGTGCACATTTCCAGAGACTCCCTTTTATATTTATTGAACAGGTGTATATTGAGCTCTTATCATCATCATGTTAAATCTGTGAGTATTACAAGTTTGAGTCAGATTCAGGTCACAAGGGAGCTGTTATTTACCCTTTAAAAATTGTCTAATGGGTACATTCACAATTATGATATCAAGTAGGAATATCCTTTTTTGTTGTGTTGCTACAAATTGTACATTGTTTTTAAGTAGGAAAAGTGACTCAATTTTTGGAGAATAAGTGGCTTAAGGAAAACAAGTGGTACTGGCAAAGTTCTGATTAACCATGAGTGTCTTTAGGAAATGCTCATTTTAATGGAATTCTTGTCTTCTAGAGCAAAGGTACAACACCTCTTGCTCCACCACCCAAACCTGTTCGAAGAAGATTAAAATCAGAAGATGAGTTAAGGCCAGAAGTTGATGAACATACACAAAAGACAGGTGTCTTAGCTGGTGTTCTTACATCACAGCCTTCTATTCCTAGGTAATCAAAGCTATTTCTAAACATATTTAATTACTAGGAACAAAGAGCACAGCAGTTAAGCCCTGACTGGTGTGTCTCAGTGTGTTGGGGGTCATCCTGTAAACCTTAAAGGTCACCAGTTCTAGTACTGGTCAGGGTACAAGCCTGGGTTATGGGCCAGGTCCCTGGTTGGGGGGCATGTGAGACGCAACCAATCGATGTTTCTCTCTTTCACTTTCTCCCTCCCATACCCTCTCTCTAAAAATAAATTAATCTTAACTATTTTTTTAAAAAGCACAGCAAATAAAAATATCAACCAGAATGAAATTATGTCAGACTAGTTCTTTAGTTGGAGTTCTTAATTTTCGCTCTTTGAGAGTTTTCTCATTTATGAGTAAGTAGAATAATCTTTCCACTTTTCTTTTATTGAATTCAATTCCAGTTCCAATTTAGTGCCGTATTGTAAACTTTGAAGCAGACTTTTTAAAAATTAATAGTCTGGAGTAACACTGCTACTTTAACTATAGTTGTTGTAGACCAGGAATTGGCAGACAGGTACCCTGGGCCAAATTCAGCCCATGGCCTGTTTTCGTAAGTCCCACAAACTATGGCTTTTACATTTTTATTAAAAAGAGGAGAAAGGAGAAGAGAGAAAGAGAAAACGAGAATATGCAATAGAAACTGTATGGCCTTCGAAGCCTAAAATATTTACTATCTGGCCATTTACAGAAGAAGTTTGCCAATGCCTGCTCTAGACTAACTTAAACCCAGGTGACTCTATTGAAGAAGAATAATTAAAACAGTATCAACAATAATCAAGCTTCTGAAGCTTAAATGCCTTTGGTTGACCATTGAAACCGAGTACGTAGGGTTAAGCTATACTAATAAGGCCAGAGTTGCTCCCTCTGCTTTCTAGTGTAGAGATCAGGCCCTGACTGGTATGGCTCAGTTGGTTGGGCATCATCCTGCAAAGTAAAATGTTGCCAGTTCGATTGCTAGTCGGGGTACGTGCTTGGGTGGAGGGCATGCACAAGAAGCAGCCAATTGATGTTTCTCTGTAACACCCATGTTTCTCTCCCTCTCTTTCTCCCTCCTTTCCCTTCCCTAAAAATAAAGCCTTTAGAGGTAGATCAGGGATGAAGGGAGAGAATTTAAAGATAAGAGATGAAGGTTGGTTATTTTTTGCCCTCTTTATTTCCTCAGGTCTGTGGGAAAAGATAAGAAAGCTATTCAGGCATCAATTAGACGCAATAAGGAAACCAACACAGTTTTGGCCAGACTGAACAGTGAATTACAGCAACAGTTAAAGGTAATGTAGTTTCCGAATATTTGGGAAGTTGCGTGGACTCAGTATCTCAGAGTTGGATTGGACCTCAGAGGTGATCCAGCAATTCTTACATTAGTATGAAACTTTCCATGTAGCAAGAGAAATATGTGTCTCGAATGTTTTATATGCCTTTGAGTCTTTTAATATTAAAAGGAGTTTCTTGTACTGAGCTCTGATATGACTGCCTTATAAGGCATTGCTGTTCTTACAGTGTTCCTAACTTTTCATAGTGAAACAAGCGAGGACATATGGTGACCTGAGGTGCTTCCCAGATCACACGCAGCTCTCTCTGCACTCTTCTTCTGAGATGATTTGAGTGTTGTCAGCTTATCCTTTCATCAAAGATAACTCACATTCTACTAATGGGACGTAAACAGATCTGTAGAAGAGGGATGAGGCCATTTAGATCCTCTCACACATGGAAAAGACAAGACAAGCCTTAAATAGTAGTGGCGCTTAGGGCTAATGTGTGCTTCTGTACTTGAGAGGCATGGGCTTGTTTTTCTTACTCTAGCCATGATTTCTTTTAATCCCTGTGAATAAAAATTAACAGCGAGAGTCATTTATGACTTAATATCATTAAGCATTCATGTCCTATAAACCAGTGGTTCTCAACTTCAATGTGTAGGACCCTGAAAATTCTGCATTTCTAATAAGCTTTCAGGTGTTGGAGATACTACTAGACTGTTGGCCCCCACTCTGAGTAGCAAGGTTGTAAACCACAAAGATGAGTAGAAACAAATGCAGAAATGTAAAATGACTACGGAGTTAGTTCATTTCCATATCATTTTGTTCACATCCAGCATTTATCAGTCTCCTGGAGTTATTATCTGTGGCATGTTTGTCTATGCCTGATTAGCTAAACTAAACTCATTGAGGGTAAATTACAGTAATTTCTGTTTAGGGTGACCATATAATTTATATCCAAACCAATAAACTTTTGAGATAAGAGAGGGAGAGATGTATTAGTACCTAGGCCAGGACATCAGAGGTAACCTGGAATTCTCCTGGGGAAACTTGTAACTGTCTTGTCTTTATCCCCTAAACCTTGCACATGTTAGGTCTTCCGGGTTCCCAGACCCAATTCCAACATTGGGAGGGGGTCCCCACACCAACAAACAATTCTCACACTGTCTACCTGGAGATAACATTACATTCCACAGGTTAAGGGTTTCTGACCAACCTGCTATAGACGGATTTCCAGTGACACCCCTCCCCCTCAATAATGCCAATCACAAGTCCAGGTTGTTACCAGCACTTCAGACCAACTGGCCCACTCCTTGGTCGATTAATTTGCTGGAAAGGTTTGCAGAACACAGAGAAATACATCCCTAACTAGAACACTGGTTTCTAAAAGGTTATATGGCTCAGGAAGGTGGAAAAGGTGCATAGGACAAGGTTTGTGGGACAGGGACGTAGGGTTTGCAAGCTCTCTCCAGGTGCTGGAAGAATTACTCTTCCCCGTAATTCCATGTGCTGATGAGTCCAGAAGTTCTCCAGATACTCTTCTTTGGGGTTTTTACAGAAGCTTCAATTAAGTGTGGTTGATTAAGTCATTGGCCATTGGCTGTTGATTCAACCTTCAGTCCAGGGGTGGGAATGAAAATTCCAACCTTCTAATCACTTGGTTGGTTCTCCTGACAACCAGCCTTAGGTGCTTTCCAAAAGTTATTTTTATTGACATAACAAAAGACTCTTTCTCCCCAACCTCCCAAATGCTTGAGAAGTTCCTAGGGTTTTGGGGAGCTGTGAGCCAGGAACTATGGATAAAGACCAAATATATATGAGAGGTACAGTTTGGTCATCTGAATGAAAAATGTGTATTTCTTACAAATTACAGTATCTCATTAGGCATTTGATAAATTTTGAATGAATGACATTTTTGTAAAATTCTTTAGTCAAAGGAGGTATTTCAGGTTGTTCTATATTCATAAATTTGGTATATTGTAAAGGAAGAATATAAAACTAGGGACAAGCTGCTAGTACCGTACTGAAGATGAAAATTTTGTTAATGGGTGTTTTTCTGAGGAACTAAAGAAAATCATAGAAATGTGTATAGGAACCTTTTTAAGAACCACTTTTCTTATCTCCAAGAATAGAAAATAGGAAGTATGATACCAAATGGGAAGAGGTAGTTCTGGTTAAAATATTACACTATCAGTATGATGGGTGGGGGGTAAGAAAGTGGATAAATTAGAATTTGCTGACTGTCTGAAACATCTGCTCAAAATCAACAGTGACTAGAAATTGTGATTGCAAAATTTATTCTCTGTGAAACTGAAACTCAACATGAGGTGTGAGAGTTGCCATGAGCACATGTGATCACTGGGGGAAGGAATCTGTGCTAACTTAGCTACAGTTACCGCAGAGGGTGTGCTTCGTGCAGTTCCATGCGTAGTAGCTATCACTGGAAATACTCGCTTTCCTCACTGTGAAACAAAAACATTTTATTATCCTGATTTATGTAATAAGGATATTTTAATAGCATATTTTGATATTACATACACAAAGAAACATTACTGAAGTGAAGTATCTTTTTAGAAAATGAATAGCTGTCCCTTCATCTTCTTAACATTTAAATTGTTTTCTTGATGCAGAGCTGTTCCTTTTCATGTGTTGAAATATAACTTGGCTTTTCGCCTTTTGCAGGATGTTCTCGAGGAGAGAATTTCCCTGGAAGTTCAACTGGAACAGCTTCGACCATTCTCTCACCTATAAGCCAATTGCCGTTAACTGTGAACATACCCATTCTTGAGCAGTTTGGGGTTGAAGCCAATTTGGAGACCCAAACATTTAGCTCATTGCTTAAGTCAACGTTAAATTTTATGATTCTGTTTTGCCCTCTATGTTCACCATTGTATTTAAGTATCTTTTATTTTTTAATTTCAACAATAAAAGGGTCAGGATGACTTTTTCTGGAAGGTATATTGTGTTTGTTGGCACAGCCCACCCTTGTTAGTCCAAAGCAGCAGTATTGGTCCCTTACACTTAAGTGGCCAAAACTTCACACTCATTGGATTTACAGAATGAGCTCTCTTTACATCTCAAGCATATTTGCAAAAGGAGACAAAATTGAGTAAACTAAATGTTACACATAAAGCATCTTTATTTGTTCTGTAAAAATCTTTAAAATGAGTTTCCTGTTTTTTTATTTGACAGAACTGCATTGGATAAGGCATTCTTTAACCATAAGCCCTGCAGCAATCAATTACACAATTCTGGAGTAATGTGGTACTTTAAGTTTTCATGTCAGTTCTGTGTTTTCTTTATGAAAATTTGATCAGGTTCACTAGTGACTTAAAATATTTTTAAGATTTTACTTATTTATTTTTAGAGAGGGGAAGGAAGGAAGAAAGAGAGAAACATCAATCTGTGGTTCCCTCTCACGCACACCCTACTGGGGACCTGGCCTGCAACCCAGGTATGTGCCCTGACTGGGAATCAAACCAGTGACCCTATGGTTCTCAGGCCAGCACTCAGTTTTGTGAGCCACACCAGCCAGGACTCATGTAAGATTTTAATTCAGCAGCAAACTTATAAAATAGCTATGAAGACAGACTGTTCTTAATTTTACCCTAAAAGTGAAGGGAAAGTGTTGAGCCACAAACAACGTAAGTATCATCCACTTGCAAACATCACTGCTATTTGGATGATTTATGCACTTAAGTCTCATTTAAAAGTTTATACTCATCAGTCTGTACAGAGATTATTTTCAAGTAATATGTTTTAAAACTTAGGAGGACATTAATTATTCACAGAATAAATGGAAATTCCTTAGGATTTCTAATTTATCTTGAGCTATCTTGTCACTCATTCTGTTGCCATGTAAACAGGTTTTTCCTACTAACAGAGTTTCTGAGATGTGCCCCATTCAGGATGATATTACTGTCTTAGGATTTGTTTTAGACCATATGATATATATACATTTTGATCAAATTTGTAAATTTACTTCATTGCTGCCTAACAACAAATATTCCCTTTAGTGGTTTATTCTGTGGGGTCATAGATGTAAAGCTGTGTGAGTATATCTTAACAGAATCAAAAGTGTGACTTTACACTAATAAAACAGTATTTGAAGTTTTGTATAGTTTTTAACAGAATTTAAAATTTTACACATTAAAAGAAATTATATTTTCATTGTAGAAAAAAGAAAATGTTTAGCCCTGGGTAGTGTGGTTCAGTGGATTGAGCACGGACCTGTGAACCAAAGTATCACGGTTTGATTCCCAGTCAGGGCATATGCCTAGGTTGCAAGCCAGTTCTCAGCAGGGGATGCACAAGAGACAACCATACATTGATATTTCTCTCCCTCTCTCCTTCCCTTCCCCTCTAAAGATCAATAAATAAAATCTTAAAAAAAAAATGTTTAAAATACCCTAGTTCACAATCCTGTAGTGTACTAATAGATTTTACTACATTAGAGGAGAATATGAAACAAAAAGGAAGTTGATAAGCAAAAGCTTCCTAGATTAATATAACTTTCATCTATTTAGATGAAATATTTAGATAATAGTTTTAGTTTATTAAATAATTAAATGAAGACTTTAAAGAATGATCCAGAAAAATACTCAACACGTATGTTGCTGATTCTGTTTTGAAATAGATTTGTCTTGATTTCTTTATTTTTATTTAACTAAATTCCATTATAGGTTTTGGTAGGTAGGGATAGGTTTCCATGTATTTATTTTTAAGTATATTTTATTGATTATGCTATTACAGTTGTCCCAATTATTTTCTCCTCTTTATGCCCCCCTCTACCCTGCATCCCCCCAATCTTTAGTTGATGTCCTTGGGTTGTACATATAAGGTTTTTGGCTTCTCTGTTTCCTATACTGTTCTTAACTTCCCCCTGTCTATTTTGTACCTACCGATTATGCTTCTTATTCCCTGTACCTTTGCCCCCATTTTCTCCTACCCCCCTCCCCATTGGTAATCCTCCATGTGATCTCCATTTCTATGATTCTGTTCCTGTTCTAGTGTTTGCTTATTTTTTGTTTCTTAGGTTCAGTTGATAGCTTTGAGTTTGTTGGCATTTTACTGTTCATAGTTTTTGATCTTCTTCTATTTTTTAGATAAGTCCCTTTAACATTTCATATAATAAGGGTCTGGTGATGATGAACTCCTTTAACTTGACCTTATCTGGGAAGTACTTTATCTGCCCTTCCATTCTAAATTATACAGCTTTGCTGGATAGAGTAATCTTGGATGTTGGTCCTTGCCTTTCATGATTTCAAATACTTCTTTCCAGCCCTTCTTTTGATAAATCAGCTGACAGTGTTATGGGAACTCCTATGTAGGTAACTGTCTCCTTTTGTTGCTTTTAAGACTCCTTATCTTTAGTCTTGGGTAACTTAATTATGATGTGCCTTGGTATGTTCCTCCTTGGGTTCAATTTCTTTGGACTCTCAGGGCTTCCTGCACTTCCTGGAAATCTATTTCCTTCACCAGATTGGGGAAGTTTTCCTTCATTATTTAATCAAACAAGTTTTTAATTCTGGCCCTTGTTCTTCTGGCAGCCCTATGATTCGGATGTTGCAGTGCTTAAAGTTGTCCCAGAGGCTCCAAGGCCTCTCCACATTTTTTTTGAATTCTTGTTTCTTCATTGTGTTCCAGTTGGATGTTTATTTCATCCTTTTTTTCCAAATCGTTGATTTGAGCTCAAGTTTTCTTTCCCTAACTGTTGGTTCCCTGTGTATTTTCCTTTACTTTTTATAGCCTTAGTTTCTTCCTTCATTTTGTGACCAAGCTCAATCAATGACCACCCTGATTACCAGTGCTTTGAACTCTGTATCTGGTAAGTTGTCTGTCTCCTTCTCGCTTAGCTCTTTTTCTGGAATTTTGATATTTTCTTTCATTTGGGCCTTAGGTATTTGCCAGGGCAGGGCAACTCTCTTCGCTGTGTTGTGGGGCTGTCTGTGGGGGAGGGATCAGAGAGGGAATAATGCCACTTGCTTGCTCTGCTCTAGCCCCACTTTCCAGTGAACTCTCCTGTGAGACTGGGAGTTTCTCCCACCTTTGCAACCCCCCCACAGTATTTACAGCTAGAGGTTTTGAGTCTTTAGTTTCTTGACCAGCCAGCCCCTCCTCACCTGTGCGGTCCATGGCCTTGCCAAGGGTCCTGTCCACCCAGCTGCCCATCTCTGCCCCTTCTGCTGGTCTGGATGAATGTTTCTTTAACTCCTTGGTTGTCGGAGTTCTGTGCAGACTGTGGAGTTCTGGCAGTTCTAGTTGTTTATTTTTGTTAAGTTGGTTGTTATCCTTCTTGTGATTGTGTGAGGAGGTAAAGCATTTCTACCTTCCCCTTTGTCTTGGCCAGAACCCTGTTGTTGTTGTTTTTTTAAGGGTATTTTTTTAACAGCCTTCTAATTTAACAATGTCACAGATCTTTAAAGTTTATTTGGAAGGTCTAAGGATTTTATTTTGCAACCAGAAAACACTTAAAAATTACAGAAAACTTTTTAGTACTTCATAGTGGTATATTTTTAATACTTTCTGGGAGAGTACGTTCATATTAAGGATATATGTGATAAGTTTTAAAGTAAATTGCCGTTTCTATTTTCTATTATTTTTTTAAATCAATAATTATTTAATGAAAATGTTAAAGATCATTGGTAAATTGCCAACAAATTAAAATATTTCTCCAGACTGATCATTTAAGGAACCCTTTCCATTGTGATTTTATTTTTTATTAGATCATAAAACAAAACTTTAAATAATATGCTTGTTCTGTCTTAGGGTTTGTCAGTCAAGTAATTAATATTGTCCGTGAACAATACCTACCAAAAGAAGTGGTTCAAAATCATGGACTTGTTCTTACTCTACATTTCAGATGATTGAGCATAGATTGAGCATAGACAATGAAGTTTGTAAGTGAAGTGGAACCGTATGGGCTATCCTAGGTCATCCTCTCACGAAACTTAACATGGAACAGAAAATGCATGTGTCTCTCTTTGCCAGGGAGAACTGGCAATCCTGAATTTATTTTAAAAAGTCCAGTCTCACTTCTGCATTGTACTTTTGATTGTATTTTGGAGTATGGACAACCATAGGAACTTGTCATCCTCTGATTCTGTGGCACATATCCACTCATATCTTGGACCTTGAAGAATGAATGCATTCTTTATATCTGTAAAGATATTTAAGGTACGCTAATTAATCTTTGCAAGTAGCAATCAAAAGGAGAAATTATTTTAAAATTCAAGAATTGACCAAGTCTTCTTTAACAATTTTTTAATACTAAAAAAGGAATTCAAATCCAGTTTAGAATATAACTTCCTAAAATTACTGAAAAATTCAAATATATGATAATGAAATAATATCTTTATATTATAATTAATTGTAATTAGCAATTGTATTTAAAGACTAAATGATAGGTGATTTAATTTTTTTTTTTAATTTATTTTTAGAGAGAGGGGAATGGAAGGAGGAAGAGAGAAATAAATCATGTGCCCGGATGGGGAATCGAACCAGCAGCCTTTTAGTTCACAGGCCACTGCTCAAACCACTAAGCCTCATTAGCCAGTGCCGATTAAATGTCCTGTAATTCCTTGTTTTAGTCACTCCAGAAGGACCTGGAGCCAGTGAAGGTTTCCTCTAAGAGTTACAGAGATGCTGAGAGCTAGACCTAGACAACGTTGGTATGTGGGCCACTGACAGAAGTAAGCCAGCTACTTAGCTGTGATATTTTAACAGGGGCGCCATACCCTTTTCAACACACCGAGTGATTATTGATAACTAGCCCATTTTATCTGAGTTTGTCTTCACAGTGGAAATATTTAGTCCCACACTTGGTTTTCATTTCCTCCCCCCCCTTAGGCTTATTTAAAATGGGGCTGAAGCTAATGAGAAGCAGTTCTTTCTAGGTTGTCTCAAGTCCTGCCTTTATATACAATGAAAAATACCAGAATGAGAGCACTCCACTCAGGTTCCCTGGCCTAACAAGTACAAAAAGAGATGTGCAGCCCATTAAGCTTGGGAAGTAGAGTGTAGAGTGACTAAGAAATAGGCACAGTAGGTAGGGTTAGGTTTTAAGTCAGAAGGTTTTTTTGTAGTATGATTTTTTATTGAGGTTATTATGAATGAAATGTTTGTTACTAAATATCCTTTGCAAATCTGTTGATCTCATTTTCCGTTGCTCTCAACTTAAGTATGAATTTAAGAAAAGGTACAGTCAGATCTAATCACTTAGTCCTAATAGAATGGAAAAAGAAATTCTAAAATAGTAACATCCACAGGCAGTATAGAGTCCTAACAGAAGGGAAAAGTAATAGATAAAAGCCTAAAACTGTAACCTCCCAGGCAGTGCAGAGTAGCAGGCAAGGGCTCGGCACCCCTGTGGAACCACGTCAAAGAGTCCCTGGTGGTGATGTAGGGCTGTGCCTCCCTTCGTGAATTTTGAAACTTCCTAACCTCCAGTGTGCGTGTCTGGCAACGCCAGCATTCTTCTCTTCTGCTCGTTCAGGCAGATGGAAGTTTACATCAATGAAATTTTTTTAATAATTAGGGAATTATTTACCAACTACAAATTACGATTCCAATCTTTTTTCTACTTTCTAAATTAATAGTAAATGAGCATTACAGAATATAGTTTTCAAAAGGTATTTAACTCTCAGAATTAAAAGAGTACATACATTTGGAATCTGGAATATCTTCTACAAGTAGCCTGTGAAGGGCCACAGATGCAATGAACTGGTAGGTGGATTTTGAAGTCCTTTCGAATGGAGTATGAGATGTGCCCCGACTACAAACAAGCAGTGCATCGTTGAAGAGGAAAAGGCTGAGGTCTCGGGTATGTTCATAGAGCCTGTGTTAAAACCAACGCAGGGAGGGGCAGTTTCAGAGGATTTCATGTGCAGTGTGGGCAAGATGAACATTCAGCTTTCCCTCCTTTAAGACATAAGTCATGCTGTGTTTTGAAACTTCTGTCAAGGTTGATATTTAGTGTTTGATACATTTGGGCAATCCGGAGAAAATAAATTTTTGTTTGGTTTCATCTTTTAAGGGTAACAGGTTTGGGTGAACCAGTGTGGCATGAGGTGCCTTAAGTAGAAAGCAATTAACTTTTGGTAGGGAAATTTTGTAATTTTGATCGGAGGAGGGGAAATTGGTGTGCAACTTAATATACCTCATCAGTATGAAAGGTTAGAGTTAAGAAGCTCTTGATTTTCACTGAGGTTGTTGCCAGGGCCATGGTCAAATGGAGGCATATGTATCAGCAGGCAAAATGTGTCCACAACCTCCCATCTGTTACCTTTTTGCTGTTCTGTTGTTGGAAACAGGTCAGAGAGGTGTCCCTGTTCACTAGTAATGGGTTGTCTTGTGCGAGCACTCAACACACATCAAGGGACATGCTGGGGAAGGGCCCGGGGAGCTCCGCTCCACTAGGAGTGGCCACACAAAGCAAGCTCAGTGTTTTGATGGAAGATGACAAATTTTATTTTCTCTTGGAAGTGTCAAGCAACCCTCAGGCACTCTAAAGAAGAGTCAATTTACTAGCTTGTCAGAGGAAGCCTCTTGTTTAATCATCTTCACTCTTCATTTAGTTTTTAAATTGTCGATTTTGATCCATATACAGTTTTAATAAATGCTAAAGTGACATCACATACCTCTTCTTAGTTCACCCAAGATACCACACTAGTACATTATCTTTCCAATCTTTCCAGTTGTTTGAATCTGCTCAGGTAATTTTAACACACACACACACACACACACACACACACACACACACCTATTTACAGGTAGTTTGCTGTTATTTTACAAAAATGGTAATATTCACACTTTTTCCTGCTTTTCTCACAATACTTCATGGTGTAGAGGGGGCATTACTTATTCCCTCGTCCCCTTTAGATGAGCAGTCCCCTTTTTGTTATAATCCTCACTTGAGGATGTGTCCCTTGATCTTAGAGACAGAGGAAGGGAGGGAGAGAGAGAAACATCAGTAAGTTGCCTCCCACACACACCCCAAGCAGGTATTGAACCCACAACCTAGGTACATGGCCCCGACCAGAGATCAGACCTGCAACCTGTTTGGTGTACAGGATCATGCAGCAGCCAACTGCCACGGGCTGGGGCAGGCAGTCCCCTTTTGATAGACCTGTGCTTTGTTTACAGGTTTGGGTCTCATTCCTGCCTTCCTCTCTTTGTTCTTTATTGCCACTTTGAGCAGTGCTGGAATAAACTGGTCCTTACATATAAACTAATTCTTTACATGTGCTCTAATTGCTGTCACGGGATTTCCAAGGGTACTATTGATTGGTGAAAGGGTTTATGTGTTTTTATCAAAGACTTCCAGATTGTTCTCTATCAAAGGTGCTCTATTCTGTACTTATTTTTTTTTAAATATATTTCATTAATTATGCCATTTCAGTTCTATTTCCCACCTTCATTCCCCTCTATCCTGCACACCTCCTCCCCCACCATTTCCCCCCTTTTAGTTTATGACCACATGTCTCAAGTTCTTTAGATTCTATATTTCCCATACTATTCTTGCCCCCCCCCATCTATTTTCTACCTACCATCTATGCTACTTATTTTCTGTACCTTCTCCCCCCTTCTCCTTCTCCCACTCCCCTGTTGCTACCCCTCCATGTGATCTTCATTTCTGTGGTTCTGCTCCTGATCTAGCTGTCTTCTTAGTTTGCTTTTGTTTTAGGTGTGGTTGTTAATAACTGTGAGTTTGCTGTCCTTTCACTGTTCATCTTTTTTATCTTCTTTTGCTTAGATAAGTTCCTTTAACATTTCATATAATAAAGGCTTGGTGATGATGAACTCCTTGAATTTGATCTTATCTGAGAAGCACTTTATCTGTCCTTCCATTCTAAATGAAAGCTTTGCTGGATAGAGCAATCTTGGCTGTAGGTCTTTGGATTTCATGTCTTGGAATTCTTCTTTCCAGCCCCTTCTCAACTGTAAGGTCTCTTTTGAGAAATCAGCTGACAGTCTGATGGGAACTCCTTTGTAGGTGACTGTCCCCTTATGTCTTGCTGCTTCTAGGATTCTCTCCTTCATTTTAATCTTGGCTAATGTAATTATGATGTGTCTTGGTGTGTTCCTTCTTGGGTCCAACTTCTTGGGGACTCTCTGAGCTTCCTGGATTTCCTGGAAGTCTATTTCCTTTGCCAGATTAGGGAAGTTCTCCTTTATTATTTGTTCAAATAAGTTTTCCATTCGTGGCTGTTCCTCTTCCCCTTCTGGTACCCCTATAATTCGGATGTTGGAACGTTTAAAGATGTCCTGGAGGTTCCTAAGCCTCTCCTCATTTTTTTGAATTCTTGTTTCTACATCCTTTTCTGTTTGGTCATTTTTTTTCCTCCTTCTGGTCCACTCCTTTGATTTGAGTCCCAGTTTCCTTTCTATTACTATTGGTTTCCTGTGCATTTCCCTTCATTTCAATTAGTTTAGCCTTCATATGTTCCTCTAATTTGTGACTAAAATCAACCAGTTCTGTGAGCATCCTGATTACCAGTGTTTTGAACTGTGCATCTGAAAGTTTGGCTATTTCTTCATCGCGTAGATTTATTGGCTCTGGGGCTGTGAGTTGTTCTTGAGCATGTTTTGATCTGTTTGTGCCTGTTACGTATGAGAAGAGGAGCCTTAGTTGTTCACCAGGATGGAGCCACCCAGGACTCTGGTGTGTGACACTGTATGTGGGGGTGGGTCAGAGAGGGACAATAGCAGTTCCCTCTGCCGCTTCCTGCCACTGGGGCCTGCGTGGTCCGTCTCACTGCTAGCTCCTTCACCAGTTTATCTGCGTGCGAATGTGTGACCACAATCAGCCCTCAGCGGGTCCACTGCCTTCCACCCTCAGTGGATCCACCAGCTTATCCACACCTGGGATCTGCTGACGGCTGCTAGCGCACCTGGGTAGCACACCCTGGGTCGTCTGGTGGATCTTTCCTGCCCGACCCTGCTCTGCTGCAGGCTCTGCCCCTCTTACCGGTTTGGCTGAAGGGTTCATTGTTGTCAGACTTCTGTGTAGTTCAATTTTCTGTGTTTTGGCTGCATTTTTGTTACTAAAACTTTGTTGTTTTTAAACTTGGTTGTGCGAGAAGGCGCAGTGCTTCCACCTACGCCTCCATCTTGGCGGAAGTCCTCTGTATTCTGTATTTAAAGTCTACTTCATATGACAGTGTCTCTGACTTGTACATAATGCAAACTTTAATGTGCATCTGAATTACTTGGAGATTTTGTTAAAATGCAAATTCTGATTTGATAGTGCAAGGGTAGCTTGAGACTGTATTTCTAACAGTTCGCTGGGTAAGCTGATACGCAGACCACACTGAGTAAGCACTTATTAGTTACAGCCCCACCTGTAAGCTGGGCAAAGGACTGGATCAGGGAGTGCTGCACTTCAGGGTCCACTCTTTGCAGTGTTAGGAAGTGCAGGTCACGTTAGGTGTGTGGAGAGGCAGAAACAGTCATCCAGTCACTAGTCAACTTGTTTGCACGTCCCCTTCCCAGCTCTGGTTGCGACTCAGGAGCGAAGGAGTGGGATGCTGCACACACACTGGTACTTTGCAAGGAATAATGCTCTGATCAAGTCGAGAGTTATTCGGACAATAATGGATCAGACAGAACCAGGGATGAAGGAGAAAGGACGTGAGAAAGGCAGAGGGTAATATAAATATATAAATATGTATAAAACTTTATAGGGGGATTTTCAGAACGTAACCTTTGGCATGAACAGACATCGGCAGCCAATTGGTTCTGTAAGCTACCTAAGCCTGAACGATGGCCCCCATCATTCACACTCTGACAGGAGAATCAGTGGCTTTTGGGGTCCCCAGGAAAAGAGTCAACTCGGGCAGAGTTAAGTGTCCCTGAAAAGTTGAGGTTTTCCTTTTCCATGCGCAGTTGCACTGGTAGTGACTGCAGTTTCCTTTGGACAGAGCCGAAAGGAAAGGTGGCTGCATTTTTGGCCTTGTAGCAGGGTTTTTCCTCAAGAAAACTCTGGGTCTGAGACGTGGATGGCTCTCTTTGATGATTCAAGGCTCCAGTCACCAGCTCTTGAGGGCCTCACTTTTGTAACTTTGGGGAGACCCCACTGAAAGGGGCAAAGGCATGCTGAAAATCAACAAGCTTAAAGTCACATAAATGAAAATCAGCGTTCCTGAAAAAATGGTAACAGTTCCAAGGTGCATACTGTATTCCAAAAGAATATACCAAAAAGTTGGGCCTGTATCTGTAGATAGACAAATACCTCCAAATTTCCTAGCTCTAAAATGATGGACTTGATCTCTATCCACTTTTTTAAACTTTATAATGCAAATATTATTCGCTGCGTCTATGGCAGATCTAGTTGATTAGTAACTTACTTGTCTAGCAACTGCTGCCGTGTTAAGGAGTTTCTGAGGAGGAAGACTCAGTTCAGCGTTCCGCCTGCTCTTCTAACCAGCAGTCAGAGCGCTGAGACCCGGTTTGGAATTCTAGGCCAGCAACTAGTTAGTTCCGTGACCTCAGACAACTTCCGTAAGTACCGATTTCCCATCCATACACACGGCTGCAGTCCTGCCTTCCTCACCAAGTGACTAAAGATGATATCGAATGAGAGGAGTTAAAATACATGGGAAACTGTGAAGCCTTGTACTCGTGTGGGTGGGTGGGGTTACACATACACGTAAGCAGGGTTTCCTGTAGGTAGACATCCCTGATGGGAACCATGGGAATGCCATTTCTGGGCTTTTCTGTGATTTCCTAAAATCACAGAAAACAAGGTTGCAGGCTACATATTCTGTGATAAGTTTTGGAGCATAAAACTTGCATTTACTTGATTTCAAATGTTAATGCAAAATTACATTAACATTTATTGCTTGGCAAGCTCTGGCTGGTGTAGCTCAGTGGATTGAGTGCGGGCCTGTGAACCAGACAATCGAGGTTCGATTCCCAGTCAGGGCACATGCCTGGGTTGCAGGCTGGTTCCCTGCAGGCCATTTCCCAGCAGGGGACGCATGAGAGGCAACCGTATATTGATATTTCTCTCCCTCTCTCCTTCCCTTCCCCTCTAAAGATAAGGAAAGAGAGAGAGAGAGAGAAAGAATATCATCGCAGTAAGTTTAAAAAACAAACAAACATTGTATTGCTTGGCAAATTGCTGATGTATTGTCTATTTCAATATAAGTGTACCTCATAGTGCGAAATACTTAGTATTTTCTCACTATCCTCAAATTGTCAAATGTACTCTGTTGTTGAAACACTAAAGACACATCTAAATTCTAATTGAGACTTCTGGCTTCTGGTTGCACATGTACAGAGCTTGGGAGTCATCACTTCCATCCTCACAACAAAAAAAAGAAATGAAAAAACTCAATTAACAAGTCTCCTTAGATCCCTCCGAGAGTTGTGGTCACAAGACAAACCACTACCCTAAAAGCTGGAGAGGCGGGTGCACACGGAGAAGCACGGCTTACTGGAAGCAGAAGCTGCACGCGGGAGCCAGCACTGCCTCAGGATATTTAAAGGGAATGGACTAATCATTAGAGACGCCAAACTGATTCAAAGATTAAAGACTTCTGCAGGCTTTGCTTTGGGGAGATCCCCTACCCCCTTGCATCACTTTCACCTCCAGAATCCCCACCAGGTTCCTTCTGTGAAGATCTGAGAAAAATCTCCCAGTGGGGAGGAGGAAAGAAACAATTCTGAAACATGCTTAGAATGTGCTATTCTTAACAAAGTCCTGCCCTCAAGGGAAACTTTTACGGAACCTAGACAAAGTGGGGGAAGGGAAATACCCAACTCCAGCTCCCTCTAGCTTTTCTGTCTTACCTTAGAGGCAAAAAAAGACAAAAACAAAAAAAAAAACCCTGAGCAGCTTTTGTGAAGGTCATGGCTCAGGGGCACAGGCTCACTGATATCTGAGACCAAATCACAGGACTATAGAACTCTTCCTCCCCCCCTGGTATTCTACCACCACTTCAATAGGATGCTTTAGAATGACACAGGGTTACAGCGGAAAGAACAGCAAGGCTCAGACTCCCTTTAAAGGATCTTTAGAAAGCCCTATGACAACAGGGAAGACAAAACCAAGGACAACAGAGAAAACCGGATCCTCTAACACCATAGCTACAACAAAGAGAACACAGGCTCTCACACGCAGCCGAGGAAACATAAAACCTTACACCACACTCCTGTTTACCTCAGTTTCCTTCCCCAATACCCCGTGTCTGGCGTTCAACAAAGAATTGCAAGGCAGGCTAAGAGCCAAAGAAACACTCTGATGAGACCAGGAAGGCAAGCCCCAAAGCCAGACTCAGATATGACAGAGATTTGGGGATTTCAGCATGATGATAAGGACTCTAAATATTAGAGAACTGGACAACATGCAGGAACACATGGGTAATAGAAATAGAAATAAAAGCATTAAGACATTTTAGAAATCAGAAACAATAGATGAATAATGCCCTTTGATTGGCTTATCAGCAGGCTGGACACAGCCAAGGAAAGAAACATTTATCAATAGAAACTTGCCAAACTAGAAAACAAAGAGAAAAAGAAGACTGGAAAAGAAAAACAACATTGCCCAAGAAATAGGGGACAACTGCAAAAGATGTAACTTATGTCTAATAGGAATATCAGGTTCAGAAAAAAGAGGAATCAAAGGAATATTTGAAGTAATAATAGCTGGTAATTTTCCAAAATCATTGACAGACACCAAATCACAAGTGCAGGAAGCCTAGAAAAGAGAGTGTCAGGTAAGATGAATACCTTAATCTATGCACTGAGGCCTTTCACATTCAGACTCCGAAATATCAAAGACAAAGTCTTTTTTAAAAGATTTTTAAATATTTGTAGAGAGATGGGAAGGGAGGGATAAAGAGAGGGAGAGAAACATCAATGTGAGAAACAATCGGTTGCCTTTCATACAAACCCTGGCTGGGAATAGAACCTGCAACCCAGGCACACGCCCTGACCAGATATTGAACTGGTGACATTCTGCTTTGCAGGACGTGACCAACCCACTGAACCATACTGGTCAGAGACAGGGGTAGAATCTTGAAAGAACCTAGAGAATTTAAAAAATGCCCTAATTATAGAGGAACAAGGATAAGAACTGCATTGGACTCCTCTTAAGAAACCATACAAGTAAGAAGCTGGGGGTGGGGGTGGGACCAGGGAGGTACTGGGAGAGAAAGGGGGAAAAAAGAGACACTGGAGGGAAATAAGTGTTGTAAGAAAAAGCCCATCAACCTAGAATTCTGTGCCCAGCAAAATTATCCTCCAAAAGACTTTCTCAGGAACATGTGTAAAGGACCCAACATGGATAGACAACAGGGTGGGGACTGACTGAGGGAGGGAGGGCGTCGGAGCAGGGGAGAACAATGGGAGCAACTGGGGCAACTGTAACTGATCAACAATTAAAAAAAAAAAAAAAGACTTTCTCATACAAACAAAAATTGAGGGACTTCATTGCTAGTTGACCTGCCTAGCAAGAAGTGTCAAAGGAACTTCTTCAGGAAAAAGGAAAATTCTATAAGTCAGAAATTCAAAATTACTTAAAAAGAGGAAGAGTGTTCAAGGTTAAATATATTCTATGAAGGTGAAATAAATTCTAATAGTCAGGAAGTGGAGCAATCCCTAGCACGTTCCTACCATCCCAGGGTGTTTGGAATCGCTGGCTGGGCATCTGGTTCCCTTCCATCATTGTATCTCTTTCTATTGCTGCTGACCAAAATTGACAAAATCAAAACATAACAAAAACTGACGGTAAGAAAGTGGCACATTGTGGGATTTGATTTAAGACTCACTCTACGCGGGTATTTGGTGAGAGAACTGATTTCTTCTAACGACCCCTCAACTCTGTCCTGTGTCTTTGAGAAACATTTACTGAAATAGTCATTGAAGGAACTGGTAAGCCAATTTCTATTTCTCTTATTGGAGTTGGATGAATGAAAGAAGTTCATTCCTCTCCACTGGGTTGCTCCTGAGTCATTGTCTTTGCCATTAATACTGAGTGAGAACACAGTTTGGCAAACAACCTCTGGAAGCAGAGAGATTAGCAGACTGGCCCCATCGCTCATTTTTGTAAACAAAGTTTTACTGGATTGTAGTTACACTCATTCATTTATGTCTTATATTGTTCATTAAGATTATATTTGTTATTATATGAGTTATATAGCTGCTTTTGTGCTTCAATGACAAAGTTTGGTAGTTGCCATAGAAATTATTTGGTCGGTAAGCCCTAAAATGTTTACTATCTGACCCTTTACAGAAACAGTGCCCATCTTTGTTCTACAGGAGAAAAGTGGGTGCCGGTTTATGGAAACTGATGCTCTCCCATCTTTTGTACTTACATTACTGTGAGCACTGTGCAAACTAGACGTAGCGAGACCCCAATATAACAGTGGTCCCATGGTGAGACCACCATGTTTTAAACACGGAGCACAGTGACCTGAGGGTAATGACCTGGGGCTCTCTTTCTTACGCTGAGCAGATGCTTCATGTGATGTCCCACAATGCTCGGGTCGCCTCTCAGTAGGAGAGTGACTCATCTTTAGAACATCCGTTTCTCTATAGTTTGTGGTCAGCAGAGACTATTTATTTTCTCCTGTTTTGCCCAGTAGCTGCCTGGAATTCAAGTAAGGCGATAAGGCATCTTACCTTATCTCAAAGGAGGGTGTGTGTATAAATTTTCAGTTCAACAAACAGATCGTTGTAAACTTATACTGTGTCAGATGATGAGCTGGGTGCCAGGCACAGGATGACTAAGACATGGCCCCAAACACAGGGTATGTAGGTGTTTACCTTAAAAAGAAGCTTGTTTCCTCCTCACAGCTGTGAAGTTGGGCTACATCTTGGACCCTAATCAGATATCTGTGTGCTTCTGACAGAGGCTAGGAAATAAAAAACAAAATGAGAAACATAGATAATTTTTAGAAAATAAAAGGCCCCGTTACTACTGCAGAGCCATTTTGTATCCCGGAATTTGTGAGTGTTGAGTAGAACTCAGTTCAGTTATGAAAAAGGGAATGTTTTTTATTGTTTATAAAACAGGCTTTCTTTAGAAAGACCACAGAATTGACCATGAAAACTATATTTTAGGGTGTTGTCTAATTTTTTAACTACTGAAAATTTTTTACTTGTAAATGTTTCATGGCATCAAAAATAAAGTGGGGGTGGGCTGAATGAGAAGCAACGTATCAAGAAAAGGAAGGGAACGAATTGTTGCAAATTGAGAGTCAGGGCCCTGCACCCCTAGAGCCACGTGCATGACCACCTGGTGTGAGCAGCGACCTGGAACTAAGTTCTGTGGACTCTGTCCATTCCGCAATCTGGGGCTTTTTGTAATCCAGTGAATTCCACCTTCCCTACCAAAACATGCAGATCTAAATTATGACAGAACAACTCCATCTTGCTTCCCCAGTGTAACCGAATAAAAATAACATCTCCAAGCAGCTGGTACTTTCGTTCCTTAGAATTCCTATCCCGAGCTCCTATTATAGGTCAAACCCTGGAAGTCAAGTCAGCCACAGCTCACACCCGATAGAGTTCCCAGTCGTGTGAATAGAAGGTTGTAATAAAATGTGACAGAGGCCCAGGGTGCTGCAGGACACCGAGGGAAAGGAGATCCACAGCTGGCGACGTGCGAGAAACCACAAGGAAGACGATGGTCGAGCCGGATGTGTACAGGAGGGTAGGAGCTGACCCAGCAGAGTAAGAAAGGGAGGTAATTTTTGAGAAGGAAGTGCATGGACGAAGCATAAATGTACAAGGAGAGGCCAACACAACTGGAGAACTGTGAGTCGACTTGTGTGGTTTGCTCATAAAGTGGTGGGCAAGGAGGTGAGAGAGAAGGTGGAGTGGGACCAGATGATATTCCATAGGCAACAGCCAGCAGAAGACCTGTGAGATTTTTTTCAGGTCTCCTTGGTGTGCAAAGCCCTACACCAGGTACTATGCACAGGGATAGATAAAACAATAGAAGCCATGGCCCCTTTCCTCTGGGTTGGGGGTTCCTGACCACACTAGTACCGAGCAAGGAGCTAAGACTGCAGAAAAGTGAAGGGACAGGGTCAAGCCCACTTGTGCTGCTTCTCCTGTGGCATCCTTGCAGGTAAGAAGGATGTGAGGCGTGAGAGCTCGGCAGCGGCAGACACACACACCACAGGCATTCACCAGATGTTAGCTGGTTTGACATCTGGATGTCTCCTTTTGCCAAAGATATGAGAGTTTATTCATGAGTGTGATATGTAGAAAGTACATCGGAATACGTACAGGGCACCCCCAGATGCTTTTCTGTATGTCTGACAGTTGATCTTTCCTGTTGATATTTTGCTTCATCTAGAAAACAAAGTAATTTTAGGCAACATAAAACTGTGAGATTTGTATACATAAAAATAGATTTTAAATATTTCGTGGCATTTATAAGAATCTGGTTTGATGTACCCAGTGTTTTTAAATGAAGAGGCAAATGACAAGACTGTATTCAAAATGCATCTTCCGGGCATAATGTGTTATCAGTTAACATTCAGCCTGGAAGCCCGTGAAGAATGCATATCAGAGGGATATTTTCAGAGTGAGAGTACTGTGCTCTGCAATGCTGAGTTGCCCAGGCAGCAAATCTAATACATGAAGAAGTTGTTTCAGGCACAAAGGATCTTCCTTTTTTACTGTTAGTCCTCTAGAAAATTCAATCCAGATACCTATTTCTTTAAACCTTCACATTGATAAAGATTTTATTGAACATGTATAGTTATCCAAAAACATGTTGCTTGGCTTAAAACAGATACCTTTAGTGCTCCAAGTCTCTGAATACAAGGATTTCACACTGAAAAGACAAAAGAATGTGAAGACTGCCGCAGGAAGAACAGGCATTTCTGGATCTGTGAGTTAGAGTGCCAGAAAAGCATTGCAACATTTTCAAAGGACACAGACTCTTGTCAGCAACCAACCTGATCTATGTAACCTTTATATGTTTTGATTCGGTCGATTGCAGTGGTCAAGTCCCCACGGTCCACATGCTCTGCAGGAGTGTGAAGCCTCAAAGCATAGAGAAGATGAATATATTCTTCAAATCTTCGGGATGGGTACAAGAGCAGCTCCGGCAGGCTGTGAGGCATAGAGAAGGGAACCTTCTTTCTGAAGGTCAAAGAATGCCCCGTCCCCAGGGTGCCTCCGCCACGCTCGCCCTCAGAACTCACCTCAGCATGTTGGTAGCGATAGTCTTATCGTGCCTCTTCAGGAAAGCTCGGAATGCTGGTCTCGCTTCTCTGCACTAAAGGTGAGCAATATGTTGTCAAAACTTAGCTCTGCATGTCCGCTGTAAAGCCTTCTGTTCCCCCAGGCAGACAAGATCAAGGATTCACTCAAAACAAGAGGCCAACGTCTGCATCTAGTCAAAGTATTTCTAGTGCTTACTAACACTAATGCACCAAGCAGAGTGATTTATTTATGCCTCAGACCCAACCCTATCCACTGTCCTGAAACAGGGTAGACAAACAAAAACAGGCTTGGTAACCAGGGCGCCTGGAGAGGAATTAGGGTTCTAGTCTGACTCTCCCTAATTCTTTGGGACCTTGTTAAGTTACTCCACTTCCCAGAGCCTTGGCTTCCTCCTAGATGTCAACCCTAACTCTTGTTAGGGTGAAGGAAAAATAAATCCTGTCCAGTAAATGGCTGTCACACAGTAAGTGTTATTTCCTTGTAGTAAAGGACTATTGATGGTGTTCCCCTATGATACTGCTGCCAGTCATGTGCGATGTTCTAAAAGTGCTCCGCTCTATTTAACATCTGTTTTAAAATGTACTCACTCATCACCTTTAAAGTACCCCATTTTTCTCCATGGGGTACATGCCTAAAAGATGCCAGTAATTCTAATTTCCAGAAATCAAATATTTATTGATTTCAATAATATTAATAGCTAACAAGTATTAAGTACCTGTATGCACCCTCTATGCTAGTGAAACAAACACCATTGGTATCTGTGACTATAAAAATTTCATCCCCGGTTTGTTTCTGATAATACAGGACATTTCACTCCAATTCTTGAGCTCACAGCCAGTCAGTTGGACGAAACTGCCTTGTTCACACAGTTTTCCCACAAGCCATAATCAGATCATCCAGCAGTGTTAAACTCTCTGGGTGGGGAGGGTGTGCTATAAAGGGAGGTGTCCAAGGTCAGGCATGGGCCAGAGACCTCAGTACAGACAGGGGGACACAGCTGAAGTGGACACACTGGACCCTGGCAGAAGTGTGCCCCCGTGTCCCCAGGTAGCAGGATCTTACTGCCATCAGAAGAGATCCCAACAAGAGCAGTATGTGAGTGACACAGAGGGAAGCGAATATTCCTGCTCAGACTACACATGGCACAAGGCACAATGAATTCTCCACAGAATGTAAGACAAAGAAATTCCTCACGCACAGTAAAATTTCACAGAGTATCCTTATCCCAAGAAACATGAAGTACTAATTCCTATTCTTTATGAGACAGCAAGCTTTGTCAAGGTCACGCAGATCTTTGTGGCAGAGTGGCATTGGGGCTCACAGTCTTTCTTCTACCTGTTAAACATTTTCCTGTAACTGAGCCATGGGCGTCTGACAGTTTGTGTGAGGATGATTTCAGTCCAACAGCCAGTGTCTGGGCCCTGCTGTGTCAAGCACTGTGCTGGCCCCTAGTGATACACAGTTAAGTGTCAGGGTCCCCGTCCTCAGAGTCCACAGTAAACTGAAGGAGTAGAGCTGGAAGCAAAGCGTGGGGGCTTTCCTATTAGCCCGAGACCTTTGGATGCCACACAAATCTTGCTTTCAAGCTCAGGTCTAATAAATGCCTGGAGGTAACGCAATCATTTACCTTCTCAATAGTTTTCAGAACAACGGGGTAATTGTTGAAGAAATTGGTATATGTGTTCAACTGGCTTCCAAACTTCATGAATATTTCTCCCACGCGGCGAGCTGGGCCCCAGTCCTGCAGTCTGTCTCTCAGGTTATCTAGAAACTGCCTGCAATGTGAGAAACGCGTGCATGCGAAAGATTGATCCATGATAACCAATAACCTTAACGAATAAATCAGTGGTCATCCAGGCTGTTTCGGCCTAGTCATTTGTGGCTGAGGTTTTGTCAAATGCTTTTGTCTTGAGACAGAGCAGTACCGGGCAGGAGGAGGGGGAGGTGAGGAAGTAGGTTGGCTATGCTGGAATCCCACCTGTCCACCTCACTCCTTGAGTCAGAGCCTCCCCAGGCTGCCTCTGAATCTCCCATTCCCACAGGGCCGGCCAGCTGGGCAGGGAAGGCTTCTTTCATTCTCAGAATAGAGTGTTCGACTCACCTGAAATGGCCATAATCTTCTCTGGGCCCATTTCCCTGTGATCTAAGGTTATCCCTCATTCAGCCACCACAGGCCTTGAAAGCTAGAAGAGGCTAGTTCAACCTCTTGATTCTGCAGCAGTGGGGGCCCACTGAGGGTAAGAAACTTCCTCCCAGTCTTCAGAGCGTTACTGGCACAGAAGCACAAGCTTAGTTTTGTCTTAGTTTACCACCAGGGCAAGGTGGTAACCTCACATACTCAAGACACCTGCTGTTACTAAGGTAGACCTTGGGTTCGCTAAGCAAAGTGTCCTAGTGACTTAGTCCCATTAAATTCTCCGGTTCCTTTCCCATAGCTCAACTAAACATACTGTCTTGTCTCTTGCACGAACAATATACTGAATACAGAATCCGCTGGCAGTGAACTCCACTGCTAGTTCCACTGCTTTGATTTGAAGCAGAAGTAACGCCCCAAAAGTCATCACTACTGGCTGCAGCCCAGTGGCAAGAACACTCTGTTCTGTGTGCTGCTCAGGGTCCCCAAGAGAGGCAGAGATGCCTGAGCCTCTGTGCAGTTCGGTGTGGGTTCTTCCCACTGCAAAACGAGATCAGAACATACAAATTTAGGAATTACCTGTTGAGGCTTAAAATCTGCAGAATATCAGAGAAAATTATCTGGATGTTTGCAGCGCTTAGAATTGCTCTGTTTGACGACAGCGCTGCCTTCAGTGGTCTTACATACACATCTCTCACGACTTCCAGCATCTGCACGTATCTTCTCTCGCTCTGTAAGAGCTCCCCGGCCACCCGAGTTCGCTTTGCGGCTGAGTCCATCTGCAGCTTTCTCTCCTGTGGAAAAGCATTGAGAATGCATAAGGAGTCCTTCCTGGCTTACAGCTTCAAAGAGCCTGAAAGTCAAAGGAGACAGAGAAAAGGAAGCCGTGAGCAATCAGGCAGTCCCTTGGAGATGCCCCTTTCTGGTCTGTGACATGAAGGGGTGGAGGGAATCTTGATAAGGGACTACGGAGGACCCTGCTGACTGTTGCATGTCCCCACCAGGGGCACATAGCCCCTCACATCAAGCCAGCATGATGCCATAGTAGAGATGGAACTTGAATTCTGGATGCTGAGAGGGCAGACTGAGACAGCTTTTATCTGTTTGTCCATTGAACATGTGCTCAGCGTCAGGTGCTAGTCGATGACTGTACAATGATGAGAAGACAGAGGCCTGCCTTCACGGTGGGCGAGGAAGACTTGGGTTGCCCACTCTTGCTTGTTTTCCTTCTTCCAGGAGTGTTTTATTGATTACCCTGCAGACAGAAGGGCCAAGTGGGCCCTCTCATTATCAATTTGCTTCCACAGGCATGTTATGAAATATGGAAGCCCAAGCTCTCCATTCATGATTCAGGAGAACGTGGCTAACTTGGAAACTGGCCCATCTCTCCCGGGTAGCTAGGTGGGCAACTGTCCTGTTTTCTCAACTTCCAAGTCCTCTTTTATTATTTAACGCAGGGGGGAAAATCATAAACTGGTATGAAGAAATCGTAGACCTTATCATAATGTGTGCCATGTTTATATTTGGAGAAATTAGATTTCACAATGGGAATGGGCAATTCTTTTTCTTTTATCTGTACTTTTCAAAGGTTTTAAAATGAGCACCTTTACAATGGAAAACAATTATACTATGTAAACATCTAAAATTATTGGACTTGTATTAGAGCCTAGAATTATTAATACTCTTAGAACAAAATTTCCCCTTTTCCCTGCAGCCTGAAGCATGCCCCAAACTGCCCAAACAAAGTGATGGTAGTAAAGCATAATGCCATGTGATCTTCACCCAAAACAAGTCAACCAGCAGTTTATGAACTAAAATTCGAATGGAAAAGTGACTTAAGAGAAGAATTAGAAAACTCTCTGCTTGGAATACTATAAACACACTGTTCTTAGTGAATCTTATCTTTCAAACATGTGGTCTATATATAATACCTACTTAGATATATCTAATGCATTAAAATACTTCTACATCCCACTTGAGCTTGCAGCCCATATTATATTTTTATGTATATTTGCATATTTTTAAATTTATTGGACCTATCCAACATATACAGGATCTGGCACAAATACACACCTTTTTATTACAAAATCATAAGTATGTGATCCTGTAACATGACAACATCACGCTCCAGCACACCGTATGACATTCTAGGTGAAATGTCCAAATTAAAACTAAATGATCACACCCACATTATTACCCTACCGACCACACTGAAGCAGGCCTTCCTTCTGCTGGACCCTGTATAATGATTTTGACTTAAGATGTCCATTGTCATACTTTTTGTCATCTTAAAACCGTTGTCAGTTGTCATGGCCCACAGTCAGATGAGGTGTTGTGCTGCCCACTGACGCCCACTCGGGGGGGTGGTCTGTACCACCTGCCACAGGTGTGCTTCCCAGGGTGCTATCCACTGCCAAGCAGCCTTGGGCTGAGGTCAAGGCCAGAATTCAAGTTTCTTTCCCCCAGTTATCTGGCCTTAGAGAAGTAAGTCATTTAAGTCTTCTGACTTTAGTTCATCTACAAAAATGTGGCTACTAGTAGCTGCCTTACAGGATCCTGAGAATGAAATATGACCATAAACATGAATGGGAGTGGAATACACGCAGGTGCTGGGTATTAGCGTGGGACCGGCCCAAGCCTGCGCTTACACTGCAGCCTCCTCCACGCGCCGCCCTCTCTAGCCGGAGAGAGGAGCCCTGAATGTTGTACTACCGGTTCTGCTCAACATCTGAAGTCACACTGTGAGTCAGTTGGTTGGTTGGAATCTGTGAACCTTTCTGTGCATTTTTTTTTTTTTAAACCTGAGGGCAAACGTTGCCCTCTTTGTCGGCCTTTTATTTTTTATTTTAAATTTATTTTTTAAAATTGATTATGCTGTTACAGTTGTTCTATTCCCCCCTTCATTCCCCTCCACCCTGCCCCCCCATCCCCACCATTACCCCCCCTTTAGTTTATGTCCATGTGTCTCAAGTCCTTTAGGTTCTATATTTCCCATGCTATTCTTGCCCCCCCCATCTATTTTCTATCTACTGTCTATGCTACTTATTTTCTGTACCTTCTCCCCCCATCTCCTCCTCCCATTCCCCTGTTGCTTACCCTCCTTGAGGTCTTCATTTCTATGTTTCCACTCCTGATCTAGCTGTTCTTTTAGTTTGCTTTCGTTTTAGGTGTGGTTGTTAATAACTGTGAGCTTGTTGTTCTTTCACTGTTCATGTTTCTTTAGCTTCTTTTTCTTAGATAAGTCCCTTTAACATTTCATATAATAAGGGATTGGTGATGATGAACTCCTTGAATTTGATCTTATCTGAGAAGCACCTTATCTGTCCTTCCATTCTAAATGAAAGTTTTGCTGGATAGAGCAATCTTGGTTGTAGGTCTTTAGATTTCATGACTTGGAATATTTCTTTCCAGCCCCTTCTTGCCTGTAAGGTCTCTTTTGAGAAATCTGCTGACAGTCTGATGGGGACTCCTTTGTAGGTGATTGTCCCCTTAGCTCTTGCTGCTTCTAGGATTCTCTCCTTCATTTTAACTTTGGCTAATGTAATTATGATATGCCTTGGTGTGTTTCTTCTTGAGTCCAACTTTTTTGGTACTCTCTGAGCTTCTTGGATTTCCTGGAAGTCTATTTCCTTTGCCAGATTGGGGAAATTCTCCTTTATTATTTGTTCAAATAAGTTTTCCACTCGTGGCTGTTCCTCTTCCCCTTCTGGTACCCCTATAATTCGGATGTTGGAATGTTTAAAGATGTCCTGGAGGTTCCTAAGCCTCTCCTCATTTCTTTGAATTCTTGCTCCTTGACTCTTTTCTGTTTGGCCATTATTTGTTTTCTTCTGGTCCACTCCATTGATTTGAGTCCCAGTTTCCTTTTCATCTCTATGGGTTTCCTGTGGAATTCCATTAATTTCCCTTAGTATAGCCTTCATATGTTTCTCTAATTTGTGGCTATAATCAACCAGATCTGTGAGGAAGCTGATGACCAGTGTTTTAAACTGTGCGTCTGAGAGTTTTGCTATTTCTTCGTCGCTTAGATTTATCTCTGGGGCTTTGAAGTCTTCCTGCTACATTTTTGGTCTGTTCTGGCCCTTTAAATGTGAGAAGCGGCTCCTTGGACTCCCAGGTCGCTGGGTTGTGACGCTGTATGTGGGGGCGTGGTCAGAGCGGGGAAATGGCGGCGCCCTCAACTGCCGCAAGCCACGGGGACCGCCGGGCCCTGGTCCAATTGCCCACTCCCTCGCCTGTCCGCTCGCCCACAGATAGGCAACCGCAGTCAACACGCAGCACCGCCTCCTCACTGTCTCCTCAGCAGTCGCTCACCCGGTGGGTTGCTCGGTCGCTCACTAGGTCCAATCCTGGGTTTGGAACCCGTGCGACTGGATTCGCGCGTCTGGATTCCGCGCCTGGGTCCGTCCGACCGGAGTCCTACTGTGCAACTCCTCACGAGACGCTGGTTTCGCCCCTTACCGGTCGGGCTGAAGAATTTGTTGTTAACGGACTTCCAAAAAGTTCAATTTTCCGTGTTCTGGTTGTGTTTTCTGATGCTAATATTTAGTTGTCCCTAAACTTGGTTGTGTGAGAAGGCACGGCACATCCACCTATACCTCCATCTTGGCGGAAGTCCTCTGTGCATTTCTTTAGACACCCTCCTAGCGTCAGAGATATAAGCGCAGAGTAACAGAGAAGGCTTTCACTCCCAAGATGAGTCAAGGACCTCAGTCCTCTTGACTCAAACTTCATTTTGACGGGAAAACAGTCAAAAGAGCTATTGCCTGGATTCCCCTCAATTACATTTGGAAGTCCGTTCCCTCAAACGTTTTTCTTGGAATTTTTAAGAAAAAAAGAAGAACTAAGGGGAATAAAGTCTAAAGAGTTTTGGTTCCCCCCCCCGGGGGGAGGGTGGCAGGGGGAGGGAGGGTCAGGAAAAAACAAATGGAAAATTCTTATTACGTAATAATTGGCTTACCAGCTGAACCAGCACCCCAAAATTTGGATCACTTTTGCTGAGACGTGATTCTGTGTCCTGAGGATTGTCTTCCAAAGCATTGCTTTCCTGGGGAGTCAATGCACATTTGATCACTCGGAGGCAGGAGCTGTCGGAGGCCCGCGGGAGGCTCTGGGCCGCTCTGCCTTCGGCCCTCTCTATGAAGGAAGCACTGAACAAGACCAGTGATGCCTCTTCTAAAGTAAGTTTTATGTTAAAAATAAAAACAAAGCCTTTAGCTCCCTTTGAACTGCGTTATACTTGAGAAACTAAGTCCAGAGCAGCTGCCTTCCCAGCCCCCCATTCGTGCCCCCAACCCAGGCTGAGGGAGCCCCACGCGTCCTGGGTCAGGCCTCAGCTCCGCTCTGTCTCTTGTCAGTTGAGGGCAAACAGGTTAAGATGCCAGAAGAAAAAACTCACGACACTTTACAAAACACACCGTCTTTATCACCTAATTAAAATGCATCTGAAACAATTCACATGACCTTTCTAGATCTGTCCATTACCACATTTAAATATGACTCATTCTTTCTTCACTTTACCCATTAATTGTTTTATTTATTAGTTTTAGAGAGACAGACAAACATCAATATGCTGTTCCAATTATTGATGCATTTATTGGTCGAGTCCTGTATGGGCCCTCCCCGGGAATTGAACCCACAACCTTGGCATATCAGGATGATGCCCTGACCACATGACCGGGGCTGTTCATTGTTCTTGGGGCCTCCATATAAATTAGCAGCATCCCTGGGTCCACTCTAGCAATAGGACAATGGTCCCACATTTATGCTGAGAGCTAATGAGGGAGGATCAATGGTCATTACTGCTGCCCTGTGTTGTCAAAGATAAAACTACCCATAGTCAAATCTGGATATCCAGGGGTGGGACTGGAAGGAAACATCAACTTGTAGCCACGACTCCTTTCGCGCAAACACGAACGAGGTCTGTATCCGTGGCCTCAGGGCTGCCTGAAGGCTTTGGGTCAGGGCCCCAGGCCTCAGTGCGGCTGCTGCTTCTCCCCGGTGTGCGGAGGCCCCGCCTGCCTTCTCTCCCCGGTGTGCCCAGGCCCGCAGAGCCTGTGTTCTCCCTGCCATCTCTCGGGTCCTCCCCATTCCTGGCCACGCCCTCACAACCTGGCTTGTGTTTACATTTATACTGGGGGGAGGGGGGACATCTACTTTGAATTTTAACAAAATGATTTAAAATTTCTCTGAGTGGAACCTTCTTTTCTTCCAAAATAAATAATAGTGCTGATCATTTATACTGAGAAATGGCAACTTCGACCAATCAGCAGTGACACCAATAGTTGTGTAGGTCGAGTGGTTGCAGACACGAAGGGAAAATCAAACCCAAACTGCCAGGCCTGGGGTTAGGAGAGCCCACACAGAACAGAATCTCACAGGCAGGGGAGGCACCCCCATCTGGGAGAGCACCCTATGATAAATGCCCACGCGTTAAAATTCAGGCGTCAGCGTGGACCCCCGACCGTCCTGGTTCTGTTTGAAGCGCTTGGGGCTTTGTTTCTCCTCTGGCTTAGCAGCACCTATTCTTATTAAACATCAAGTTTTCTTTGTGGACAGGAAATTGATATGGCATTGTAATTTTGTTTGAACCTAAAAGTATCAAGTTTTCTCATTTTATGTTACACATCTAATGATTAGAAATTTTAGAGACTGTTTTTAGATTAAGATGACATCCCTTATTTTGTTTTTCAGGATAAATTCAGAGGAAATAACAGAACAAACTTCACACATTTCTAAGAGAACAATTATTTTGGGTTAGTGGCCTTCACCTTGACTGTTCCCATGGCATAGAACAGCTATGTCCAACTGACCACACGGTAGAAATTTCCTCCAGGATGGAGCACAGGCAGGCACCGCGTTTTCCAGAGACACCCTAGTTTGCTGGTGCTTCTCCTAGAAAACACTTAGCTTCTGTATTAGGGGCCAGAAATAGTTGTGAAAGTGACTGGTCCTGCTCAGGGACAACTATGATTTGGGCTGTGACTCATTGCCATGGTTGTGTGGTATGAGGGTAAACACTACAGCCACACAGACACCAGCAGGCCCTGCTGACCGGGCAGCAAGATGGGGGATGGGAGGACAGCTAGGTAGACAGATGTATCTGTCTCTTCATATATATACTCATGTGCGTGTGTCTTGTCCTGGGTTTGGCAGACATGCCCCTGTGGAAGGCTCTTTAAAAGTGTCTCAGCAGAAAGCATGACTTCCCACTCCTAAGGCTGTGAGGCTTGTGTGCTTCTTTTGGATGAATAGCTAGTTTCAAAAATAAACCGCCATGTGTGGAGTGGTAACTCGGCTTCTCCATTTTATCCTAACGCAGCACCCACATCTAACCTGGGGTTTGTTTCCTCCTGAGGGTCCCCAACTTTGTTTTATGGGCTTTGTACATAAGCTCTTGGTACTAAATAATAGAAAACCAAATAAGAATCTAACATTTTTTCTAATTTGATTTTTAAAATAAAAGTATCAGTTAAAAAGTAAAAATATATCCAGGAGATTTCTAGGCATTAAGGAGCTTCATGTTTCTGCAGTTTCATCACAGACAGGCGCTATAACCCTAGCCAGTCTGACTTCCGGTGTTGAGGCAACTTTAAGCTCAAACTTTCTGCTCTGTTTTATTAAAGTGAACACATGTTTAGTTCAGTGGTAGGTTGAAAAGACATCTACCCTGTGGGAGAATAATCCCCAAGAGTTGCATAGAGATTCAGGGTGGCCAGAGGGGCACGGCCTCTAGTGGTCCTCTTGTCACCCTTCCCGGCACTTCACCACCCACAGCGAAGACTTGCAGGATGTCAGGTTATAGGAAAACAAGCCATTTACCTGCTAAGGGAACTCACAGTCTAAATTCCTATGACCATTCTCCACGGTGAGTTTGTGTTGGGGCTGGTATCCCAAGCCTGTGGTCATGCAAGACAGGCAGGTGATTGTTCTATGGGCATAAAACAGCTCTAAAATGACATTTTTTATAGAAATCAGCCCTCTGAATGACAATGCAATTTTCCGTGTTTTCTGGATCCTGATTATTTCACTTAATCAAGAATATATGGATTCTACCATGGCTGCTGTGGCTCAGTGGATTGAGTGCCAGATTGTGAAGCAAAGGATCAAGGGTTTACTTTCCACTCAGGGCACAGGCTTGGGTTGCAGGCCAGGTCCCCAGTGGGGACTGTGCGAGAGCCAACCACACACCAGTGTTTCTCTCTCTCTCTTTCTCTCTCCCTTCCCCTCTCTAAAAATAAATTAATTAAATCTTTTTTTTAAAGAATATATGGGTTCTGAATACAGTACTGGCAGAATCATTATTTTTTGCCTGAAGAACTAAATTCAAACCCACTTTTTTCTCTTTTATGAATTTGAATCTCAATTAAGGAAAGAAGAACAATTCTTAGTTTAAAACACACACACACACACGTCCTGGGAGGCAAATGAAAAACAAATCTCTAAGTTATCTCAAGACTCAACTGAAAAAGAGGCAAAATGCCAATGTCCAACTTTCCTCTGAACCCCAGGAGCGCTATCCCAGTCCGCACGGGCGGTTCATGCTTATAAGTGCCTTAAACATTACTTGTGATACTGTAAACACTTTTAAAGTAATAATTCAAGGAAATAAAGTTCTTAGAAGAAACAAGCACTTGGAAGCCTTCCAGGAGGAATTGTCGTCATTGTCTGTGAATTTCTCAAGCACACGCGTCTGACTCCTCAATGAAGCAACGGCGCAAAATGCAGCGATAACTTTACCTTCATGAATGAATCGAGCATCACCTCTGGGTCCGATTTTGTCAGAATAACATTTCCTTCAAAATCTTTGCTCTTTTCACTACATTTCTTCAACAGAAAATGTGACAAAAATTCCAGAGGTTTGTCCTGAAAAATCCACAGCCCCAGCCCCCCCAAAAAATTGTATTTAAAGCCTTCATCAGAAATATAAGTCAACAAAACTGTAGTAGAAAAGAGAACCTGTTTTTTAAATAGAGTTTGCAATTTTCTACCTAATTCATTTTTAAGTCCAGCAAACAAAGTAATGGTTATTCAACTATAGTCAGTAAGCGGGACTTCCTGGTTAATCACACATTCCAGTTGCCATGTATGCTCTTCATTCTCAACTGACTGTCATAATTCAGGTCAGATGCCAAGGTCTTATGGGAGGATCTCAAGACCTTCAGAACCAAAGTGGCCCACCTTAGCCAGATGAGGAAGAGGACAGGAGGGATCTTATCTTTCAGGAGAAAGGCAGCTTGGGAGAGAGACTACACAGCTAAATTGCTGGGAAAAGTACTCAAATTTGGTTCCATCCACGGTTATTTTTAAATAATGAGGTGGCGGTAAGTACACTCAAGCTACACCAAACACATCTAGTAAATCTTTGGTATTTCGGGAGACAGTGCAGGATCTTTCAAAGTCTCACTGTTGCCCCATAAACTTCCCTGATCATTCAAAGCTCACCAGGGCCTGCGTCCCTGGCTGCCCCCGGGGCTGGCTGGATTGCCCGGGGCTGAGACTTCGGGGAAGGCAAATCATGACCAGTTGCACCTTCTCGGACTCCGCAGCAAACCCCTAACCCTGAGGACACCTGGTACTCAGGAAGCCACCGTGGAACCAAAGCAGACACAGGACACAACAGGAGAACGTACACAAAGACAAAGTTAAATCTGCCCACAAAGTCAAGTTACTACAGTGGAAGAGATGGATTGGAGAACTTCTCGTTGCACGACGAGAGCCCTTACACAGCACCAAGCGTGTCTGTGCCATCGCGGTCCCGTCCTCCTCTCCACTCCCCCAGCCCCACCGCTGCTTCGTTCACCTTCCCGTAGCCTCATGAGGGTCTCGGGGTCCTCTCCTCACTGTGTCCTCATACACAGACTCACTTTTCTGGGAGAGTGTCCAAGATTTGTTTGTGATGAAAATGCTTCATCAGGCATCTGCCACGCTGGTCCCCAGCCAAATGATTGACAGGCTTCTTCCTGTTCTCTGTTCTCTTGCCCTTCCCCTCATCAAGCCTCTGGGCCCTTTATCTTTTTCCATCTGCTTTCACACTTTTTCAATTTTTCTGTCATACTATTAATTGTTTTAACTGTTGATTAATGCTTATGTGAAATACAAAGCCACTCACATGTTTTTTAAAGAAGTCATTTCTGACTGAAATCATTCACAAAACAATGCACAATGGAACCAACTTGTAAATAACCTGGGTTTTCCTGTCTGTCTGTCTGTCTGTCTGTCTTGTGTGCCTAGTAGATCTGGAGCCCAGACTCTGTCGGTGCTCTTTCTACAAACTGATGTAATTTTTCTGAGGTGCCCTGGAGGGATATACTAGTTAAAAATAATAATAATAAATACAAACTAAAAATGTTTTTAAGTGTTGGGATTTCATAGTGTACTTTATTTTTTTTAAAAATGCAGCCCCGGCTGGTGTAGCTCAGTGGATTGAGCACGGGACCGTGAAGCAGGGGGTTGCCAGTTCGATTCCCAGTCAGGGCACATGCCTGGGTTGCAGGCCAGATCCCAGTAGGGGGCACACTAGAGGCAACCACACATTGATGTTTCCCTCCCACTCTTTCTCCTTTCCTTCCCCTCTCTCTAAAAATAAATAAATAAAATATTTTTTTAAATGCTTACCGGATTTTCTCTCGAAAGCTCCGTCAATCCATCTGCCAGAGCTCCTGCAGTCTCCTGGTTGTTCAGAGTGTCGGTCACGCCCATGGTGTCAAACATAAACTGTCCTGCAATCAATTTACGTGAGAGACGTGATCAAGAAGAGCACAGCTTGGTCCTCACGGTTGCTTTTTAGTGGACACAGATGCAAAGAATAAAAATTGTGATTCTATTTCACCATGAAGGTTATCTGTCATGATAAAATATAAAGCCAGCAAAAGCAACTCAATGCGCAGGGCATAAAAAGGGCCCGCCCTGGCAAAGCTGATGCTGAATAAAATCTATGAACTGGACAATAAGGAGAGACCATGTGAAAATGAACCTTATAAGTTTAAATTTTGGACTCACAATCCCACCAAAGATCCCTGCACACTCTCATTTATCTTTCTGCTCAAATATAAGTATTTTAAGACCATAGAAAATAATATACTAACATACATACACAGACATCTTTTACATTTAAAAATATTGGACAATATGCATTTATATGAAAAGAATTTTCTTCCATTCTACTTATTGTTCACATATATCGCCAAAATATCTGCATGCTTACTCGTGTGTTATAGCTTGTGTGTGGAAAGTGACTGTGTGAACAGACGTTAAAGAAGGAGCAGGCAGGGGAAGGGAAGAAAGGAAGGCACAGATATATGACGACTTGATTCTCAGGGTGTTTTATTGAGTTACATGGAAAGAGGGAAAAATTGAACAGGTAAAGATAGAAGGAAAACTTGTTTGCCCATATGGTAAAGAAAAAAAGTATTGTAAAAAATGGACTGATTTAGGTGAAGTTCCAGTTGACACAGGGCCTTGCTTCCCAAAGCCTCTATTGTGATCATTGGGTCATGGCTGTGGAACTTAAATGAGAAAAGAAATTCAATAATGTCCAGCAGGGTCAGCAAAGGACTCTGGAATCCATCACCCAATTACACATTTTAGGTAAAAAATGAACAGAACACAATTGCAGAGCCCTTTAAGTAACGGGTGCTGTGCTTTAAGAGGTGCTCGCTTTTTCGAGACAACCACAGTGGGAGAGGACAGAGTTCTCGGGCTGAGCAAACACGGAGCGCATTTTGCCTGGGTAAATAATTGACTGACACAGGATCAATGAGACGGTAAACTCTGAAACCAGGAACTGGCCTCAGCATGACAGTGAATGTATTTATTTGTCTTTACATGTAATATTTATTAAATGATATCTAATATTTATTCTTAAGGAGTATTCATAGATTCAAAACACGACATGAAAAACAAAGGGAATAAAGTAGCACTCATGATGTTTAGGAGTCGACTTTTAGATCCCTAAACTTGGACTCCCCCTGGACGTGAAACAAACTTCATAATTAGACTGCAACAGAAGTAGCAAGAGTTCTCACCAATCATCCTGCCACTGACGTTCTTCTGCAGCTCCTTGAAGAGAGGACTTAACTGTTTCCGTACTGATTTCAAGGTGTCTTCCAGGAAGTCCGTGAAGCTGGCCCACGTCTGCAGTTTTGATTCGCTGAAGTAGATGGAGGGAGGAGTTCTTCCCTGCGGTGGTCCCAGCCAGTCGCTAAGAACTGACATTATTTCCTCCTCTTATTAGTGCAGACATAAGCTCAGGTGAAATCATTCTACTTCTTTTGGCTAGTACGTGCACACACACACAACTTAGTTGTATTTGCATCAGGCTTATTATCCTTTCTCATTAGAAGGCTAAGATAAACACCCATAGTCTGCTTTCAAGGGTAGAATTAGAAACTCAAAAAGATTACAATGAATCATATCAAATGTCTAACTACTTTTTGATAAATAGGGTTGACACATTATATTTGAAATAAAAAAATTAAATAGCTGCTGGACTTGTGCATTGGGAAGCAGAGCGGGCATCTAAGTGAGAACATACTGTTTTATGTTTTTAGCCTCAAAATGAAAATGCAAGGGAACCCCACTCTGCCTGCTTTCCCCATCTTACCGGCCACCGTCACTCCTGTCCTAGCCAACCCGGTGAGTCCCTTACACTATGTTAAGCTTCTCTCTCTCTCTACAAATATCTCTACATGACTCTAGCAGGTGCTTACACAAGTCTTTCTCCTTGAAAATCAGTTACTGATGGGCAAAGTGCCACATCCAACTTGATTTTCTGTCCCTAATGGATACCTCGGCTTGTTTGACTCTCCTCCACTCCATGTTCATTGTTAACCGTGTGGAAATCTCTGTAACTGTTCTCCCAGAGGGAGAATAAGAGGAGCCGGGGAAGGAGGATGAACAGAGCAGGAGGGAAGAAGAAGACGTGCTCTGTAAATGCAGTGCGTGCCCTGCTCTGCTCGCTGGGCAGATTCCTCTCTCCAGAGCCAAATATGTTCTCATGGGTGATGTTGCCGTATAAACTGAAATTAACAAGTAACTTCTGTTACAAACTATATTAAATCAATGCACTTTTTGTTACAGCATTTCCCCGTACAAGTTCCCCAGTTGTGGCAGTTTTTCCATCTTCAAAGGTAATTTGGGATCGGAGAGGTAATACTTTATATCATCTCTACATCCCCCCAAATGCTGTTTAATGAGAGGCGGGGAGTTTTAAAGGGGACATGATTCCCATTACTGTAACAAAGCAGTTGGTTCTCTTGTTGGTTAGCTGATGTTGTGTTTTGATCTAATATCTCCTGCTTTTGTAGCTAAACAAAACTTTGCTTCCAGGTGTATTATATCGCTGGCTGTTTTTCCTCTCACGTAATGAAATGGGAACCTGAGCAAGCCTCTTAATCATCTCTTTATAGCTGGAATTCATTTTTCCAGATGAAGCCATATTAATTACATTTACTAAAAACTGTTCTTTGTACGCATTATCTTTAGATTAGCAACTATACATCTTTGTTTAACTGTTACAGATGTTTTCAACTGAGTTTTACAAATGACGGCTTGAAGCAAATATTTGCAATACATAATCCCCTTTCTAAGCAAATGACAGAGTGATGGGAAATGAGACAGTGTCAGAGAAGGAAAGGTAGTTGATGTCAGCCAGAACCAGTATTATGTAACTGCACTCTGTCTTTTGGTGATCCTGGAGTTGGTGGGCGTTATCCAGCCGGGGGTCAGCGCCCATGCACACTTACCGTGCTGGTAGGAGCCAGTTGCGACCCCGGTGGGGGCGGTGAATAACGTGCCAGTGAGTTGAGACAGCTGGGAAAGAACTTCTACACCTGACTCTGCGCACAAAATACTTTTATTAGTTTACTCACAGGTTTCGCTGTGGAACAGGTAAGCATTACTTAGGAGCAGTAAGGGGCCGGCCACGAAAGGCAATAGCAGTTCTCGCCCTCATTTCAAATCCCGAGTTGGAGTAGGTTACCAACTCCTCACAGCTCAGCCCTGAGTGCTCACGTCCAAACACGGAATTTATTCGAACTGTGCAACAGGGTGGAGAAGAGGGAGTGAGGTTTGAGCTCGTGCTCATTTTCACAACTGGAATACTCGGGCCAACGTCACAGAAGAGGAAGTCTCAGTGTAAAAGGAGAAGTTTAAAACTGTTAAACACCGAATGGAATATGATGGTCAAACTTGAGCATGGCATTAATTTCACTTCCTTTTCAGTGACACGCTATCGGCTGAAGTACACTCATCATCTTGAATGTTCTATGGCTTCATGGCTACGACACACGTCAGAATTTAGCCAATTGCACACTTTAAATACGTACAGATTGTTGTATGTCAATTACGCTTTAATAACGATGTTTAGAATTGTTAACCTAATGCCTCCAGAAGATGAATTTTAAGTTTCTGGCTTATGAAGTAACTGGGTGAATGACAATATCTTAACTGAGGAATCCTGGGGAGGGGGGATTGGTGCTGGGGTGGCAATGGCAAATCTGTTCCAGATGTGTTAACTCTGAGACGCTCTCAGACGTGCCAACTGAACAGTCATATGAAGATGTCAAGCAGGAGCTAGATCTGAGTCTGCAGCTCAGAGATACCTAAGCTGGAAGCGTCAGTTTGGGAGTTTCTGGCGTCTCTATTGAAGTCAGAGTCTTAGGAATAGATGAGACTGCATTGGGGAAGGTGTAGTCTTGGAAAAGGAGAGCACTCAGGATCAAGCCCGGGGCACACTTAAGAGTCTTGCTGAGGAGGAGGGGTCGGCACCGGAGAAGGAGGTGGAGCCGCCACTGGAGTAGGAGGAAAACCAGGAGAGTGTGGTCTTAGGGAAATGAGAGAAGAAGGAGAGTTCTGAGGAGTGGTCGTCTGCATCAGGTGCTGCCGAGAAGTCAAAGCGAAGTGAGGGTGGAGAAGGGGCTGGTGGATTTGGGCACCTGCAAGTCACTTATTTTCTTCTGAAAGCAACTTCAGTAGCAATAAAGACGCCACGTGGAAGAGCCTGAGGAGCAAACGACAGGTAAGGAAGGTAGAGGCAGTCAGCACAGACCAATGGTTCTCAAAGGGTGGCCGCTGGGTCAGCAGCAGCAACACCTGGGAACGTGGTACAAATGAAAATCCCCAGGCCTCGCCCCAGACCCCCTGAATCAGACACTTGGGGTGGGGCCCAGAGATGCATCCTTTAAAAGACCTGTGGGTGATTCGAAGACACACAGAAGTTGGAGAAGCCCTGGTAGAGGCAACTAAAAACGTGGTGAGGGAAAGTTCACGATCTCTCTCGTTTTTTTGAAACAGGAGCTACTGCAGGTGTTCCTGGTTTGGTAGAAACGATCCAGTAAAGACAGAGAACTGAGGCTACACACGAGGATGTGAGCGTAGAAGTGAAGTCGGGAGGCGGAAAGCAGTGGGCTACTGAGCCCAAGTGTAGTTGCTGGTTTGTGACTTGAGCAGAGAAGCTTCTTCCACAGTTAACAGAAGGGAAGACAGAGGATGAAGGTAAGAGGCGGGGCAGGTGGTGGATTACAGAAAATAGAGGCAAATAAGGTAAAAAAAAAATTTAGATATAAAAAGAAGGAAATCTCACTTATCATCTTATCCAACCATTGCTGAGACCTTGGTATATGTCCTTTCTGTGTAGAGACCTCCTGCCCCCGCGCCAAACACAGGTGATAAGCAAGGGGCCACAATATCCGTATTCTCTGTAACACACTTTTAAACACTGTTGAAAATTTGAAAAACATAACTAGGGATAGATTCTCTTACTATTCTGCTATATTTCCTTATTGATTTTTCTATGCATATTTTCTATATAGTTGAGATTATATCATTGTAATAACTGTAAAAAAATTTAATTTCATTTTCCTCTAAATGACTTCCCCCTTTTTGTTCTTATCCTTTCCCCTGGTTGAAGTTTGCTAGTGAAACTTGAAAATTTAGAACTTTAAAATTCACAGTTCTCTAAAGAATGGGTAATAAGAAACAGTTTGGGAAAATTTAATGTCATGTTCCCCCTCCCCTGTTCTGCTTGGTAAAAAAACAAACAAACCCAGAGCCCATGAAAGCAGGGCTTTTATTTAACAGATAACTCAAGAGTGAATTTGATTTAATGTTTCTGAAATTTCCCTTCAAGTACTAAAATCATCTTCAAATTATAGTGGCTGCCACTAGACAGGGAGGCACTTAAAATTATATCAGCAACCTCAGTGATTCGCAATTACACTCATCTTCACAAAGCACGTCACTGTTTTTAGTGTTCTGATATTAAGTATTTATATTATTGCTTATTTGTATAAATTAAGTTTTTATGTTTTTTGATATTCATGAGTCCTATAACATCAGGTAGTTTTATCCTAATGTTCACAGCAGGAATGAGGTTCCCAAACTTGCCTAAGGCCACGCAGCCAAAAATGGCCTGAGCAGGATCCAAGTCCAAGTTCTGGGTCATGAAGTTCACACTCACACATTCCAGGTTCAGGACACAGCATGGCAAGCTGTGCCAGATTGACCAAGCATAGCTCCTGTGCTGATGAGGCGCTTTCTCCTGTGTTGTGTGGGCTGACTTCACTGTGTTTTCCAGAAGAAACAGAAATAATGTTCCTGGCTGGCTCTCGCCACTAGTGACCTTATTTCTGCAGGAACAGTTTACTGGGACTGCTAACCCCAAAGCCTGTTCCCTCTAAATGCCTGAGTGCATGAGGTGTAAAGCAAAAATGAAAGAAAGAGTAAATGCGACTGAATCACTTGAACAAATTCACAGAATATCGTAAGGTGGGCAGGACCAGAGCCTTTCAAAACTCACCTGATGCTCCAAGTGGCACAAAGAGGTCCACGTGACCCCCTTCTTCTTCAGGGGCCACACAGCTGCCTAATTTCTCCCAGAAGTCTCTCACCTCAGGCTTCAGTAAATTTTTAATGCCAATTTTGTAGCCTGAGGGAAAAAATGGAAAAGTCATATTAATTTTAACAGTCTCATGACTAGAAACTCTCAGCAGTTTGTGAAAATGGAAGCACCATTCAAAGAGCCAACACCTGCCCCTCAGACCAGAATCTGTAGGGCATCTCTGCATCTTTGCTGTAGCATGTTCAGGCCACAAAAGGCACCGCTGGACTTCAGCATGTCCTTAGTCTCCTTCACACTCTGGATTTATGGGACACTGTGCACTAGGTTTGGGACCTTGTGTTTTTGCCTCCGCCATGTAGCAGTGGGAGTGACCAGGCTCACGGCAGGGTTCAGGGCAGATGGCCAGTCAAGTCCTGGGATTTTGCAACCAAGTTCCAAAGGAGAAATGTTTCCCATGATTGTCAATGAAAAAATAAGCCACTTGGAGCAGAAAAAGTGCTCCAGGAGATGGTAAACATCACTGCGGTGCTCCCTCCCTGGGAACGTGTGTGATGGACTTAGCCCACCTGCGCGTGTCTGGGCTGATTTCTACCCTGTCCTGGAGACTCAGCTTTGCCAGTCCCACAGAGGTAATGCAAATGGAGTCGCGTGCGGAATCTTGGTGGTTTGCGCCTACACATTGAGAGGTCCAGACACAGAATGGAAGGTCCTCTTCGGGTGACTGGACTGACATTTCATTTCGTTGTTTTTAAGGCAAAAGCTTTGGGGGAAAATCCCACAGTTATATAGAAGGAAACTTGAGTTTTCTGTGGTATTTTTGTTATTGTCACTATTGCTTTCATAAAAGGAAACAAAGAAAAGGCAGAGTTTGGACACCTTTCTCATCTGGAGATCAGCCCTGACCAGTGTGACTCAGTAGGTGGGGTACCAACCTGGAAAGTGAAAGGTCACTGGTTTGATTCCTGGTCAAGGGCACTTGTCTGGGTTGTGGATTTGGTCCTGGTTGGGGTGCTTACGAGAGGCAACCACTAGATGTTTCTCTCACACTTTCATGTTTCTCTCCTTTTCTTTCTCCCTCCCTCCCCCTCTCTCTAAAAATAAATAAGTAAATTTTTTTAAAAAGCTGCGATTGGGCAAAAATCGGGAAGAGATGGGAAGAACTTGGAGCCCTTGTGCATGGTTGGTGGGGTTGTAAAGTGGTGTAGCCTCCATGGAAAATGTAGTACGGCATTTTCTCAAAACATTAAAACTAGAACTACCATATAATCCAGCAATTCTACTTCTGCATACATATCCAAAGGAATTAAAAGCAGTGTCAAAGATATAGTTACATACTTACATTCATAACAGCACTACTCACAATAACCAAGAGAGGGAAGCAACCAAAATGTCCATTGATGAATGAATAAACAAAGTGTCATATATACATACAGTAGAATATTATTCAGCCTTTAAAAAGGCAGGAAAACTTGCTACATGCTACAATATGGACAAACCTTGAAGATATTATATAAAATGAAATAGGCCAGTCACAAAAAGTCAAATACTGTATGATTCCAGTTATATATGTGAGATATCTAAATTAGTCACCTGCATAGAAGCAGAAAGTGGAATAGCAATTCCTTGGGGCTTGAGAGACAGGGAAAAGGGAGTTCTTATTTAACGGTGTGATGGTTAATTTTATGTGTCACTCTAGTGGGGTGCCCAGAAATTTGGTCAGGCATCATCCTAGGTGCGTCTGTGACATTTGGGGGTGACATTAACATTTGAATGGATAGGCTGAGCAAAGCAGATTCCCTACTTATTACCCCAGTGAAAGGCCTGCACAGAGCTACCCCTGCCTCGTTAACTCAGAGCTGGGCTGTCAACCTTCTTAACCACTGGGAACTTACACAGCACCAGGAGGTCATCCGAGTGGACAGACACTACGTCAGTGCACAGTTGGCTGTTCTTTCCAACCCCACCTTACCTTGGAGTAAATTGATTTCTCTGCTATCTCCATTGCTAAATATTCCCACACTCTGTGCCTTCTGCCCATCCAGAGCTTTGTCTATGAGATACAGCAGGCTCTCCAAGGTCAGGCTGCTGTGTTCATACACCACAGAGGTGACACCTGTCCTGACACTGTCCACCACCATCTAGAAGATAAAACCAAAGCCCTTTACTTGACACTATTTTTTTTTACATTTTATCGATTATGCCACTAAAGTTGTTCTATTCCCCCCTTCATTCCCCTCCACCCTGCACCCCCCATCATTTCCCCCCTTTAGTTTATGACCATGTGTCTCAAGTTCTTTAGATTCTATATTTCCCATACTGTTCTTGCCCCCCCCATTTATTTTCTACCTACCATCTATGCTACTTATTTTCTGTACCTTCTCCCTCCTTCTCCTCCTCCTACTCCCCTGTTGCTAACCCTCCATGTAATATTCATTTCTATGGTTTGCTCCTGATCTAGCTGTCCTCTTAGTTTGCTTTTGTTTTAGGTGTGGTTGTTAATATCTGTGAGTTTGCTGTCCTTTCACTGTTCATCTTTATCTTCTTTTTCTTAGATAAGTCCCTTTAACATTTCATATAATAAGGGTTTGGTGATGATGAACTCCTTGAATTTGACCTTATCTGAGAAGCCCTTTATCTGTCCTTCCATTCTAAATGAAAGCTTTGCTGGATAGAGCAATCTTGGTTGTAGGTCTTTGGATTTCATGACTTGGAATACTTCTTTCCAGCCCCTTCTTGCCTGTAAGGTCTCTTTTGAGAAATCAGCTAACAGTCTGATGGGAACTCCTTTGTAAGTGACTGTCCCCATATCTCTTGCTGCTTCTAGGATTCTCTCCTTCATTTTAATCTTGGCTAATGTAATTCTAATGTGCCTTGGTGTGTTCCTTCTTGAGTCCAACTTCTTTGGGACTCTCTGACCTTCCTGGACTTCCTGGAAGTCTATTGCCTTTGCCAGATTGGGGAAGTTCTCCTTTATTATTTGTTCAAATAAGTTTTCCACTCATGGCTATTCCTCTTCCCCTTCTGGTACCCCTATAATTCTGATGTTGGAATGTTTAAAGATGTCCTGGAGGTTCCTAAGCCTCTCCTCATTTTTTTGAATTCTTGTTTCTACATTCTTTTCTGTTTGGTCATTTTTTCCTCTTTCTGGTCCACTCCTTTGATTTAAGTCCCAGTTTCCTTTCTATTACTATTGGTTTCCTGTGCATTTCCATTCATTTCAGTTTAGCCTTCATATGTTCCTCTAATTTGACTAAAATTGACCACTTCTGTGAGCATCCTGATCACCAGTGTTTTGAACTGTGCATCTGAAAGTTTGGCTATTTCTTCATCACTCAGATTTATCGGCTCTGGGGCTTTGAGTTGTTCTTGAGCCATGTTTTGATCTGTTCATGCCTGTTAGGTATGAGGAATGGAGCCTTAGTTGTTTACCAGAGCCGGGCCACCCAAGTCACTGGTGTGTGAGGCCGTAGGTGGGGGCAGGGTCAGAGAGGGACAATGCGGTCCCCTCTGCTGCTTCCTGCCACTGGGGCCTGCATGGTCTGTCTTACTGCTCCCTCCTTCACTGGTTTATCTGCATGCAAATGCGTGACTGTGGTCAGCTCTCAGTGAGTCCACCGCCTTGTGCCCTCAGTGGGTCCACCTACTTCTCCACACCTGGGATCCGCCTATGGCTGCCAGCACACTTTGGTAGCGCGCCCTGGGTCGGTCTGGTGGATCTTTCCTGCCCGACCCTGCTGTGCTGCTGGCTCTGCCCCTCTTACCAGTTTGGCTGAAGGGTTTGTTGTTGTCAGACTTCTGTGAAGTTCAATTTTCTGTGGTTTTGGCTGCGTTTTTGTTGTTAAAACTTTTATTGTTTTTAAACTTGGTTGTAGGAGGAGGTACAGTGCTTCCACCTAAGCCTCCATCTTGGCGGAAGTCTTTTAGTGCTCTTTTTAGAAGTAACAGTTCTCAGTGAGCCGATACTTTGTAGCAGTTTTTAACACATACGTGGATATTCACGCATAAAGCATACACAATACTAACCTCTGTTGAATATTTCCATTAGTTGGATCACTAGAGATTTTTAATGGTTTAATTTAAGTTGTTAACTTTACATGAAGTGATCCATATAATAAACTTTTCTGTTAGGAGAAACTTATTAAACAGTGCTTTGAATTCTATGACACAGCAATTAATAAGTCTCAAATACCTAACAGGTATTTTCTATACTGAAAGAACTTAATTGAGTGCTATTTACACTGTAGGAGAGCACACTAAAGAACTAAATTAATGCTCTGTAATCAAAGAATAGCTATGCTTTCATTCATGTCACACATCCTAATTACCACATTAAAATTTTAAGAATTTCTAATTTATCCACAACAACAAAAGTGTACAAAAATTGAGTGGAAGAAAATATAAGCTGTCATTTTTGAGTTCTTTTTTTTCCTTTTTGTTGAATTTATTTTGGTGATACTGGCTAACAAAATTATACCGGTTTCAGGTGCACAATTCTACAGCACATCACCTGTATTCGGTATTGTGTGTTCACCACCCCAAGTCGAGTCTGCATCCATCCCCATCTGCCCCCGCACCCTCCGCACCCCACCCCCCAGGCAGCCACCGCGCTACCGTCAGTATCCCTGAGGTTTCCTCTCTTTTTATTTTGCTCAATCCCTTCAACCTCTCGCTCAGCCCACCCCCCAAAAAAACTTGTCAGCCTGCTCTCCATCTATGAGTCTGTCTCTAATTTTGATTTATGGTTACCTTTATTGGTTCTCATTTTAAAAACTGCTTTGTGCTTATAAATTTTCACTTAGAAAGGACCAGTTGTCTTTTAGGAGATGAATCGTTTTCATGCACTTGGTGGCCAAACATTGTCCTACAATCTGCAGTGTCAATGAAAGAACTTAATTCGGAGAGGCCTGGCCTTTTAACACACTCTGTACCTCATATGCAGGAATCCGAGATGATATTAATATGAAGTGTGGTGGGGAAGCACATGAAGGGCTGTCATCATTTTTAAGACCTCCACGCCAACTTTTCTTTGATAGTAAAGGGTACGAATATCTTCCTGAAACATTTCTTCTGTAAGGAAAAGGGGGGAGGAAGTGAAATTCTCATTTTCTCTTAATCCGACTTTGATTACATGTTCTCTGTGTCCATCAGCCACATACTGTATATGAGGCAGGTGGCCTCAGTACCTCGGTCTCTCCCTGCAGTTGGGGACAAAGGCAAAGGGGTCTCCTGGGCAGGTTGGGGGCAAAGCTGCCCTCTGGTCCTCTCTTTCTCCATCTGTGGGATGCCAGAAAGTTCTCTCAGAACTTAGCTTTTGTGGGGCACTTAAAATGAATGTAGCGACTTGCTTAGGATTCCAAAAAACATTTTGAAAAGGGGCAGTGGAGAGATTTCAAATTTCCATAATCCTCCATTATCCAGTTATCTGAGTAATGTCTCCATTCTCTCCACCATCACCTCCACATTACCATTTGGATATGCTTAGACCCTACAACATTTCTGGAAAAAATGATATTTTTGCTCAATAACTTTGTACAAAACATATACTATATCCACAGTATGGCCTCCTTGTAGGGTTAAGAATATTTGAAATGTAAATTTTGAATGTTATATATTTTTTCCTTCAGAAATCATGCTAAAGACCACCATTTTTGCTGTATCCAAGGATAAGAGCTGTATAATTATGAGATCCTATGTGTCAGCTAGATTATCCTAGAATAAATTCTTGGTATCAAGAGATGGTCCAGAGCCTTCAAGAGATGGAGGTTTGCTTACCGCTTGGGCAGAGCTTCTAAGGATGCCAAAACAAGCTGTTTCTCCAAAGCTTCGTGTAATCCCACTCGATCCCTCACAGGCGGGGAGAGACGTGGCTGGCATTGGGATTTTAACAATCTGGAGCAGCCTGTTCCACTCACCCAGGGGGGTCGGGCTCGGAACAGCTCCTCTGGAAGACAAACAGCAGCCCGCTCGGCTGTTCACAGCACGCTCCTCCCCGCCAAGTCTCCACAGATAAAAGGCATCAAACTAAGGCTGCGCCAGGGCAGTATTCCAAACAGCAATCATTATGGCCACTTTTACACTCTGTTTGTATTTCTTATTCTGTCCGCACTGTGGCTGCAAGTTCCCAGTCATTTCAGGTCAAGGAACAAAACTTAGAGAACAAGTAACTCTTTTCTTGTGGAAACCAGTCAATTTATAGCCTTTCCATCCATTTCTGTCCTCCTCCTTGGCTTCAAGCAACTTCTCTTTGTTATGACCTCACAAAGGGTCAGTCAGTAGAATAATAAATGAATAAAAAGGAGAACTCAAATCAACTTTGTCGATTACCTTTCCACACAAGTCAGAAGGCTCAGCTGAAAGTCTGTCTTGCCCCCACTCTCTTTCTACTTTAAAGAAAGTACCACTCTTCCTGCTTTCGCTCTCACTTTCGTTGCTCCTTCTCCTCATCAACCCCAAGTCTCCTGAACTGTCCTGAACCTATTTCTTTGTTTAGGCTTGTGTTCATACTGCTCTCGCCTCCTTATCTTTGGTCTTACAAATTTGAGAAAAACTAGGACAGGCAATGGAGGCACTGATATTTGACCTCATATAGTTCATCTGAAATATTTTTTGCTTATTAATTACCTGGAAATATACAATGAAGAGAAAAAGAGCTTATCCTGAACATATGAGTACTTCCGAGAATGCCACCCACACGCTATTCCAGAAAAACAGCACTACCCTCCTCTGTGGGAATTTGTATGTAAATCCACTGGTTTCGACACTACTTGGTCAAGATAAGAAGTTTTAAAATGCTACTCACTCTTACGCAGTGCAATTTTCTCCCACATTATTTTCCTTAGATGCTTTTCTCTTTGTCTCTCCTGTAGCTCCTCCTCTTCTGTTTTGGGTTCATTCAGGGTCCCATAAAGGGCGGCGGCTTCCCTAGGTGTCAGCCAGTCTAAGCTGGACACACAAGCAATGTAATGGTGCTTCCAAGCACCGTATTCATGGTCCGTTGGAGTGTAGGGCAGAAACCACCCGAGCCTGATGCACTTGGGCATCCATAAGCAATCCTTCAGAGACAGAAGTGAGAAAGATGAGTTGTGAGTTTTTTAAAGGTCAGTTTCCTAGGCAGAATGCTTTCAGGTACACAGCTCCTTTGTTTTAATACTTTAAGATTTCTAATGCAGTTGACTTGCCGTCTAAACTCGACTCTGAAAGATGAGAAGCATTCCTTACTCCATAGGAAAACCATTGTTTGATGAACACGTATGTTATATATAAATATATGTACTAGCCATCTTTGTATACTCATCTAGCGCTCCCGTAGTACTTGGGTAGTTAAACCCTAGATTCAGAGACTTCCGCTTCTAGCAGTGGTGTGGATGTGTGTTTCAGTCAGTCCTCCCCCTCAGAACAACTCTGACAGAGCCATATGATATTGTCCATGGGCCACCACTTTTGAGATAGGAAAACAGCAACTTTCATGTGATGTAATCAAGTTAAAATCTAGACAGAATATCAGACAACAACCATCTGATGTTGTGATGGAGCTACAGTGCGTAAGCACCTGTGTAGCCAAGACCCTGGGAGGGAGGGGAATCCAGGGGCGGGCCTGGTTGTCAGCACTGCTTTCACACCATTTGACAGTTTCAAAGTCAAGTTCAGGCTGTCTGACAAGGAGCAGAAAGTTATAAGTGAAAGCCTTACAAGCTGTAAAGATATTTAGGCAATTCTCACAGGGAAGAGGGGAAACAAAGTTCAATTCGGGGCCCACTAAGGGGGAGATCCCTGGTAACCACACCAGGCTTTCAACTGAGATCCTTTTCAGTAAAGATGATAAAGAATTGGATAAACTATCACCAGGACTGAAGCTAGATTTGAAATATCTCACTCTCTGATTAGATTTAGGGGATCTATTCCTAGCTGAAACAAACACCAGAACCAAAAGCAAATTCTTCCTGAAGGAAGATACTATCATCCAGAGACTCAAATTACCACATTAACTTCTTGCACTCAGTATCTGATACTCAATCAGAAGCACACAAAAAGACATTTGTCTTTGAATAAACAGAGAGAGAACCTCAGGAGATCCAGATATTGTAATTATCAGACATGAACTTCAAAACAAAAACAAACTAAACATGGGAAACTATATTTGCCAATGATACCTTGGACAAGGGTTTGATCTCCAAAGTGTATAAGGAATTCACACAACTCCACTCCAGGAAAACAAACAACCCAATTAAAAAATGGGCAAAGAACCTAAATAGATACCTCTCCAAGGAGGACATACAGAGGGCCCAGGGACATATGAAAGGATGCTCAGCATCACTAGCCAACAGAGAGATACAAATTAAAACCACAATGAGATATCACTTCATATTGGTCAGAATGGTCATCATAAATAAACAATAAGTGCTGGCAAGGATGTGGAGAAATGGGAACCTTAGTGCACTGTTGGTGGGAATGCAGACTGGTACAACCATTGTGGAAAACAGTATGGAATTTCCTCAAAAAACTAGAAATGGAACTGCCTTTTGACCAGCAATTTCACTGCTGAAATGTTATCCTACGAACCCTGAAACACCAATTCAAAAGATCCTCTGCACCACACTGTTCATAGCAGCACAATGTACAATAGCCAAGTGCTGGAAACAGCCTAAGTGCCCATCAGTAAATGAGTGGATCAAAAAACTGTGGTACATTTACACAGTGGAATAGTACACAGCAGAAAGAAAGAAGGAGCTCCTACCCCTTGCGACAGCATGGATTGAACTGGAGAGTATTAAGTAAGCCAGGTGATGAAAGACAAATACCATATGATCTAACCTATTAGTGTTAACATACTCAGCAAAACAGACAAGCAAGCAAAATAGAACCAGAGACATGGAAATAAAGAACAAATTGACAGTAACCAGAAGGGAGGGGAGAGGGGTGATGTGGAGGAAAGAAGGGGAAGGGTAGAGTCAAGGAACATGTATAAAGGACCCAAGGACAAAGACAGTGGGAGGCAGTGATTGAATGAGGGAGGTGGGGGATGGGCAGGGCAGGGGAGAGTAATAGGGGAAAATGCAGACAACTGTAATTAAACAACAATAAAAAAATCTATAATATGTTTAAGGAATTAAATGGCTAGGTGGAAATTTTTGGCAAAGAAATCAACATTCTAGAATTGAAAAATATAATAACTGAAATTTGTAACTCAGTGGACTAGTTTAATAGCAAATTAGAGCCCAGCTAAAGAGGTGATTAGTAAACTGAAAAACAGGCTAGAAGAAAGGTCCAGACTGAAAACACTGACGGCCAAAAGGATGGAAAAGATGTCCGAGAAAACGTGAGACTTAGGGGAGGCGGGGAATCAGTCTAAGATAAGTATCAGAATCTCACAAGGAAAAGAGAAGCAATATATAAGGAGACAGCATCTGTGAACTTCTCGAAGTGTATAAAGGACATTAAATTTCAGATTAAAAAATCACTGCAAAACACAAAACAGGATAAGGGTGGTTGAGGAACATGTATAAAGGACCCATGGACAAAGCCAAAGGGGGGAAGGATGGAGCGTGGGAGGTGGGGGTGGGTGGGGCGGGAGAAAGTGGTGGCAGGAAAATGGAGACAACTGTACTTGAACAACAATAAAAAAATAGTAATAGTAAGAAGTTTTATTACTATTAAAAAGACAAGATAAATACACACACCGACACACACCTTCTAAACATATTATGAAAAAATAGAAAAATATCCAACACCTACTAGAGAAAATAGAAATATGACCTTTAAAAGAATAACAATAAAACTTTCTACTTCTCAATAAATAGTTACGGAAGCCAGAGGACAATGGAAAATTTTCAAAGTACTATAAAAAATTAACTGCCAACCTAGAGTTCAAATTTTCAGTGACAATATTCTTTAAATATGAAGGTGAAATAAAGACATTTTAAGATACAAACTAAGAGAGTCTGTCAGCAGCAAGTTGCATGAAAAGAAATATTAGAGATAATTCAGAAGGAAAATGGTCCCAAATGGAAACTCAGAGATGCAGGAAGGCACGAACAACAGAAAAGTAAATATGTTGTTACTTATAAATAAATATTGACTGTGTAAAATACTAGTAATGGAGGGGTTGGGGACTGGGTGAAAAAGGTGAAGGGACTGAGGAGTACAAACTGGTAGTTACGGAACAGCCACGGAAATGCCAAGTACAGCATAGGGGGTAGAGTCAATAGTATCGGAACAGCTACATGTGGGGCCTGGTGGGCACCAGAATCAGTGGGGCGCTCACTCTGCAAAGTACGTGATTGTCCATCACTATGCTGTACGCCTGACACTCACACAGAATAATATTGAATATAAACTGTAATTTAAGCATAATTTTAATAAAGAAAATAATAGTCTTGTGAACTTTGTATATTTAAATGTTTGCATATCATATATATTCTTAAATATATTAAAAGTTATATATGACATTAAAATATCTGACAGCATCGCTGGCTGGTGTGGCGCAGCAGATTGAGCACCAGCCTGGAAGGTTACCAGTTCGATTCCCAGCCAGGGCACATGCCTGGGCTGTAGATCAGGTCTCCAGTTGGTAGCACACAAGAGGCAACCACACATCGATGTTTCTCTCCCTCTCTTTTTCCCTCCCTCTCTTTTTCCCTCCCTTCCCCTCTCTCTAAAAATAAATAAATAAAATCTTTCAAGAATCTATCTGACAAAAGCATAGAAACAAGGGTCAAGGGGGATGAAGTTAAATGTTCTAATGTCTAATGTCTTTGTCTTCAGTTAAATGAAGTCAATGTCTTTGTGTTACCTCCTGCACAGTAAAATAATCCTGGGATGGGTGCTGTAATCTCTATGGGAGCCATGAGAGAACTTCTAAAGAATTTATAATTAATAGTAAAATATATTGATAGATAAATATTTATGTACTCCAAAGAAGACAGGGAGAAAAACAAAATACAAAACACATGGAACAAACAAAAAATCAATAGTACAATGGTAGATAGACTTAAGCTCAAATATATCAGTATTTACGTAAATGTAAACAGACCAAATTACCCCAGCTAAAAGTCACGGACTGCTACATGTTAAAAAAGAACCACCACCACCACATGCTTTTATGAAGTGTTTTTTAAATATAAGGACATAGAAAGGTTGAAAGTAGAAAGACAGAAAACAAACTACTGTGCAAACAGTGAGCCTGGATTTTTTACGGCAATCGACCCAGGGCTCACAGACGGCTTTTGCACGTGGGTGCGTCACAGAGAGCGCGACAGCCTCTGAGATCAGAATCTCAGCACAGCCCACCCCGGAAGGCGTGCACGGGTTAAAGAAGCAAATTATTGACTTGTTTCTAACATTATGTCTACTGTTACATTTCATTCAGTCTTTTAAGAGGAAAACAGAGGCAGCATTAATGGAAGAGGATATTGAAGATCCAGACTTATCTTCCTCAACAGATGTTAGCCAAAGAGAGATTAATTGAAATTGTGATTGTACAGCAATTTTCAAGGCAATTTATCATGAATAAAATAATAATATATATAACCCAAAGCCTAAATAATTTAAATGAAAGGATAGACTCCTTTAAGCCAAGAAAAGGTATTTTTCTAAATAATTGAGTATTTATAAATTATTAAAATTGCATGAATTATTAGAATAGTGTATATCCTCTTACTTATAAGATAAATTACCTTATCCCCATTTTTTTCTTAAGGGTAAGTTAATCATGGTTCAGAGACACTCAGTTATCTTTTTTCTCTAAAGATTTTATTTAGACAGAGGGGAAGGGTGGGAGAAAGAGAGAGAGAGAAACATCAATGTGTAGTTGTCTCTCACGCACCCCCTACTGGAAACTTGGCCTGCAACCCAGGCACATTCCCTGACTGGGAATTGAACCAGTGACTCTTTGGTTTGCAGGAGGGCAACTCAATCCACTGAGCCACACCAGGCAGGACTGTTTAGGGAAGAAAGTTATCCCAATACCCTCATTACATGTTACTAATGTATTCGCGCCCTGTTACTAGGAAGTGACAATTAGTACACCTGTTCAGTTAAAAACTTCCAGGGCCAGCTGACTTGCGCAGCAACACACAGATCTTTCGGATTCAGAAAGGAAAAGATATGGAGAGAAATGAAGCGTGGTAACACTGTAGAGAAATCCACTCTGGCCACTTGCATCCTTTCTGAGAACTGGTCGTGCAAAAACCTAAGATGAAAGATACAGAAATTAAATTCAGAACACTAATTTCTAAAGTCGACTAAAATCCAGTGTAAATATTAATTGTTCTTTCTCTAATGGTCTACCTGTAGACAATAATTAAATCCCAAATAACATAGGCTATATTTTTTCAAAAATACTCTGTCTACTTTCCACGATCCATTCCAAAGAAGATGAATAACAAAAAAATTTTTTAAATCCACAAGAGAAAAAACCTGTGAAACAGCCTTAGTTGTTTAAGCTATAAATCGGAAATTTCTTTCCCCCTTTTCCCTCCCCCCACATTCAGTAAGTCAGCAGGGCCTGCCAGCTGTACCTCCAAAATACAGCCCACACCCACCCACGTCGCTCCACCTCTGCTGCTGTCACGCTGGACCGAGGCACCTGCAGCCCCCCCTACACTGTTGCAGCAGCCTCCTGATCATCTCCTGCTTCCACTCTCCTCTTCCCAGACCCCATTCTCCACGCAGCAGCCCAGGTGGATGTTTAAATGCAGATCAGATGATGTCACATACATGCGTAAAAACTCAGAACGGCTTCCCGGTACAATTAGAATAAAAAACTCTGGCTGAATCACATTTAGTGGTGAAATATGAAATACCTTCCCCCTGATATCAGGAACTAAGTAAGAGTGTCCACTCTCACTACTCAGCTTAACATACCCTGGACATCCTAGCCAGCTCAGCACAAGATAAATACATGACGTATATATTGGAAAAGAAGCAGTAAAATTGTCTCACTGCATGTACCTGCATGTAGAATTTACAAAACAATTACATACAACTATGGAATCTACAAAACAACTATTTAAATGTTGAATTTATGAGTATAAAATTATTGATAATTTTCTTCTATTACCCTTTTAATGTTTGGAAGATTTGTAGCGATGGCCCCTCTTTCATTTCTAATATTGGATAATTTGTATTTTTCTTCTTTTTTCTTGGTTACTCTTGCTAGGAGTTTATCAATTTTGTTATATTTAAAATTTTCGAGAGGGGAGAGGAGGAAAGAAAATCAACCCGGGCCAAGGCTGTTACTATTTTTTTAAAGCTGTTTGTGTGTTGTATCTTTTCTTATCCTTTTACTTTTAGCTAATCTGTTTCTTTATACTTAAAATCAATCCCTCGTAGTCAGGACACAGATCTTGTTTTTAGCTCATTTGACAACCATCCCTTTATTTGAGGGTTTAGTCCCCTTATAATTTAATATCATTATTGATACGGTTGAATCAAAGCTTTCATTTTGTTGTTTGGTTGTTCCATCTGTTTTATGAAACTTTATTTCTCCTCTTTGCTTTGTTGGAATTAATGATTTTTTGTATTCTGTCTTAATTCCTTTATTAGCTTTTAGACGTCTTTAATTACACTTTTAACTTGCTGTAGCAAGTGCGATGTGCATCTTCAACTTTTCATGCCTACGTGAAGTTAGTGTTACTGTGACGTTAAACCGGTGTATCGGTGTGGTCCTCACCATCCTCCGTGCTTCTGTTGACACACACGCTGCATCTACTTACAAACCCCACCGTGCAATGTTTTTGTTTCAACAGTCCCATGAATTTAAATAACTTAGATATTTTATATTTCCCCACCCATTTACCATTTCCTGTGCTCTTCATTCCTGCTTATAAATCTCAGTTTCCATCTGGTATCAATTTCCTGGTCCCGAAGGACTTTAGCACTTCTTACTGCGGGTCTTCTGGTAACAAATTTTGTCAGTTTCCTTTTACCTAAACATTTCTTTATTTCACCTTAATATTTGTGATAGCATTATGATTCCATTAATTAATTTAAATAATTTTCATCTTGTACCCAATCCGTTTCTGCTCTTTCTTCTCCTTCTCCCCACCCTCTGGCTCCTCCTCCTCCTCCTCTCACCCGCATCCACATTATTTTAACAAGCCTAAGACATCATATCATTTTATCTATAAACACTTCATTGTGTAAGCTAAATAAGGAGAATATTTTAAATATATATATATTCTCATACTGTCATCATATCCAAATAAATTCAACAATAATTTCTTAATGTGACATCTATAAAGAAAACGTTTTATATGGCATCTATCAAGAACACTTTTCACGTGGCATTTCAAGCTGCCTAGGCACAGGCGGATTTAGAAAGAACACACCATCCAAGGCCCCATCAAAGTGATCATCTTGGCGTGGTGTAGGCCAAAGAAACATTTGACAGCCCATAAAAGAGGCGCTGCTGGCCCTACAGCCACCAACTACAAAAACAAACAAATGCACAGAAAACAATTGTGACCCTTAGATATTAGCCATAAGCATCTGCTACCATCCCAGGCCACCAGGTAGGTGGTCATCACTGAATAAGAAACGCCAGAATAAGAAAGTCTGGAAGCAACCCAGGCATCGGTAAACCAAACTCTTCCCTGGAACTCCTAATCTCATCCAAGCTTCGTGGAATTACAGACACTTGTGACCAGTCTCCCAGCTGGGAGACTGGAAACTTTGGCCACAAGAACTTACCAGAAGTCATTTACCTCAGGCCGCTGGGTCTGTATAACTGTTTCTCACTCAAGTGTCTCCTGCTGCCCTGGGTCCTACTAGGGACAGATGAACTCACTGAAAAAGCACGTGTGACTCTGAACAGGTCTTATTCTGCAGTGTGTCTTCTCTGCCTCAATTCCCACAAAGTAGGTCAAGCCTCAGAAAGTTTCAATAGGAAATGAAAATGGCACCTCCAGTTAGGGACAAAGAGAACCATAGTTACATTCATGAACAGGGTGCTGACATCCATTAGACCCAGAGAAAGCCCTGACCATGAATTAACCCCAACTGTGGGCTTAACGTGGGCCTCATCTACAAGTCTTGGGAGAAGGACAAGTTCTACCATACAACAGAATTCCAACTACTACATGTGAAGGAATTAAATTAGAAAATCACCTCTTGGAAGCTTCCATAGTAATAAATGCTTTAGATTAGAATCATCAATGGATGCATCAAACAAGTTTGCAGATAAACAGGATATTTGTGTAGATTCAAATATTTCTAGTTAGTTTAAAAGTAATCAGGTGCTGGCGAGGAGATGGAGAAAGGGGAACCCTTTTGTACTGTTGGTGGGAATGCAGATCAGTGTAGCCACTGTGGAAAACAGTATGGAGTTTCATCAAAAAACCTAAAATGGAACTGCCTTTTGACCCAGCAATCCCACTTCTGGAAATATATTTGAAGGAACACAGAACACTAATTCGAAGGAACATAAGCACCCCTATGTTCATTACAGCATTACTTACTAACACCAAGATATGGAAGCAGCCCAAGGGTCCATCAGCAGATGAGTGGATAACACAACAATGAGACATTTACACAATGGAATACTACTTGGCCATAAAAAAGAAGAAAATTTTACCCTTTGCAACAGTATGAATGGGCCTGGAGAACATTATGCTAAGTGGAATAAGCCAGTCAGAGAAAGACAAATAGCATATGATTTCACTCCTATGTGGAATCTAATGAACAAACTGAACCAACAAGCAAGACAGAGGCAGACTCATAGACAGAGAGCAGGTTGACAGCTAAGGGGTGGGGGGACTAGGGGTGGAGGGGTTGAGCACAAAGGAAAAAGGGCTCATGGACATGGACAGCAGTGTGGTGATTGCACAGGGGGCAGGGTATAAGGGGACTAAATGGTAATGGGGAAGCGTACAATAAAAAAATTTTAAATAATCATTTAAATATACTTTAGTTACTTATGAATTAATAAGTACAAAATACTTCCTGATTAGCCATCCCAAGCAAGTGGTAAAGTCAGTGTCTCGAGCAGTGGGACACATTGTCACGGTTGGCCGCCGACATGGTCCACCGAGAACACAGCATCGCTTCTGTGCTGTTCCTGTCAGTGATGTAATACCTGAAAGTTGTCTTAAGGACATATCAGCCAGCCACAAATTGAAGGTCATTCAACAAAGCAGCACATCTGTCCTTTCCAAGTGTCAAGTGAGAAAAGACAAGGAAACAGTGAGCAATTGAAGGTAGCTATAGAGACATGGAAATTAAATACACTGGGTGACCATGGACTGGATTCTAGACTGGGAAGGAAAGGACAATTGTCAGGGATATTGTTGGATCGATCAGCAATATTGAACGGAGGCTGTGGGTTGGATGGTGGTGCCCTGTCCCTGCTGATGCCCTGATAGGGGAGGATGGTGCTTTGACTGTTCGGCAGACTGTCCTTGTTTTTTTAGGACACCATGTTTACAACCTACTCTCAAATGATTTGGAATAATATGGCAAAATACAGCAAAATTTTAACCATCGACACATCCAAGTGAACAGCATAAAGAAATTAGTTAAACTATTTTTGCAACTTTTCTGGAAGTGAAAAATTATTACAAAACAAAAAAAGTTATTTTAAAGAAGAGGCTACCTGCTTTAGTTCTAAGGTGTGATGGTTGCCTATTCTTTCTGTGTTCCTACTCCCCGGGCTTTAAGTCACTGCTCCCTCTTGATCACTGCGCAGGCAGCCTTGTCACAACCTGAGACAGACAGAGTGGCTCTGAGATGGGCTTCTGGCGCGTTAGTCTGGGGAGTGGATGAGTGTGTGTGCATGTGTGTGCATGCATGTGTGCATGTGTGTGTGCGTGTGTGTGATGTAAGCAGGGGGCAAAGAAAGGACTTGTGCCTGTCCTGGCAGCGCGTAGTGTCCACACACAGAAATGCCACCAGGGGAACCTTCTCAGTGTTGATAGAGGTTAATATTCAGGCTGAATGAGCCTGTGCCAACACCCAGAACAGTGCATCTCAAAGGATCCCTGGCCTAACTCATCACTGCCTGAGGCAGCCTTTATAGTCATTTTACTGTCATTTCACAGCCCCTGACAGACAATTTTCTCTCATTTAGAATCACAAAACAGATCAATAAAAGAAGATGCAGCCCTGGCTAGTGTGGCTCAGTGGATTGAGCACAGGCCTGTGAAGCAAAGGGTCGCCGGTTCGATTCCCAGTCAGGGCACACGCCTGGGTTGT